CATTATCGGTATTAATAATTGGCCAATATGATCATTCGAAAATCGATTTTGGATTGTTATTGATCATGAAGATGATTTTTTTAGAAAAATATAAATTCAACCATATCTTCAACGAATTTTTTTCTTTGAAAGTTAAATTTATTCGAAGAGAAAAAAATTGAAAATCATCATCATAGTACAGAAATGTTGCTATTCATTATTTTTTTTCTCGTATCTGCATCTGATATTTTTTTCTGATGACGATAATGGTCTATTCAAAATGGATGGTCTTTTGTCAGCATTTGATTTGATTTCATTATCATCATTTAAAACTACTGAACCAAAAGACTAACCAGCAGCCAACCATTTCTGTTTTTGATGATGTGGTTTTTTTTTCCAGAATCGATTGTCTAAGACACGTGTCATGTATCTCCCATATCTGTATCAATTTCTGATTTTGGTTAAAAAAGTTGCTATAATTTTTTTGATAAAATTCTGACAATAAATGTTATTCAACCTTGTTCGACTGTGTTGGATTGTTTTTTCGATGAATTTCCAGAAATGTCTAGAAATAGCCCTACATCTAAACATTTAGTTTTTTTCTATTTGTCAGTTTTTATTTGTGTGCATGTGTGAATTTGGTCATCTTAATTTTCGAATGAAAATGAAAAATTTGTTAATTAACTGTTTTTATCTGATAATCTAACGGCCATGGTTGTCCATTTAAATGAAACGAACCAAAATTAATTGAGATTAATTTTTGTCAGCCAGTGATGTGCTAAATACGATGATGAATGATGATGATCCGTATATGATTACAATCGGGAACATTATGATAAACCATTAAAAATTGAACGAATGTCATAATCAAATATTAATGTTCTTGCCAAACAGAATATGAATTTCGTTTTGGATCATTTGTGCTGGCCAACATTGACATTCATCCGGTCCCTGTTCAAGGAAATCCCAATTGCATTTTTGTTTGTCATATAAACATTTTGAAGCTGAATATTTTTCAAATATCCATTGATCATCATCACATCATCATCATCAACTTAATGTAGTAATCAAATGGAATCTGGATCAATGAACATAACAATAGTGTTATCATCATTTAATGAATGTATGCTTCGATTAATAGTTAATAACATTCATAGAATTTGTCGCCCATTTGGGTTATCGTTATCAGAAGTTTCATTCAAACAGAATTGACATTCCTAATCTATCGATAGAATTATTCGGTGTTTGCCTTAGTGAATGTTACATTTTTTTCTTCTGTGCACAAATTTGAATAGATATCTCTATCTATGTACTGTAAAAGAACCGATATGTTTTTTTTTGGCTGACATCATCAGTCGAATATATTGTATTATTATAATTGCATACAATGAAATACCATTGCTATTAATTAGTTGTTTCATGTGAAATCGAAGATGAAAATCATACTAATTAATTCACAAACAATACTGTATTCATATGTTCGTTTATTCATTACTATAACTATTTGTTTGAATGGGTTTTTTTTATGTTTCCTGTTCATAACATAGCAGGCGGATTGATCTTTTTTGATTATTGTTATTGGAGAAGGGTATCCAGGGCTTTATAACAATAGTCTGAACAAAAACTTTCGATTTAGTTTGTTTATAATTCACAATCGTTATCTATACGCGGCAAATTATGAAACGACAAATTGCATGTCTCATTTTTTTCAGTATTTCGTTACATTGAATAGATGATACAATTTTTTTCTTTTCAGAATTTCGGATGGATGTTATTAGGAAAAAATCAAGCATAAAAATGATGACATGTATAATAGTGCCAAATATGGTGTATGCTTTAGCGATTTTGGGCCGATTGGGACTGCATAGTATAAAAGCATGACAAACAAACAAAAAAAAAACAAAAATATACAAACATATAACGCGACAGGCCGAATCGAAATGATCGATGGCCATTCCAATGATTTTTGTAGATTTTTTTTCACAGGCCCAAATGTCGTCACCATCATACATTACTTACGGGCGACGTTGTTGTTGTTGATGTTTGATCCCATTAGATTCCATCATTGAATGAAAAAAATAACTGTCGTGTCGTATGTTCCTGTATTTTTCAAAAAAAAAGTGAAACACAAATAGCTTAACAAATAATTCAACGAATTCATCCAGAATAAAAAAAAGAAACTCTATTTCCATCAAATTTTGCTGATGAATTCATAAACAATTCAAAGCTTACACGGTATTCTAAAATTTACAAGAAGAGGGAAGGCAGCTATAAAATTTGTTCATACATTTTGAAAATGTTAGCTACTAGGAATCGGAAATTCTTTTCCCATCTAATCATCCAGCCATGAAGCTAGTGAAACTATTATGGCAGCGAATAAAAATCATTGGAATTGGATTTAATTAAATTCAGTTCATATACTTATCAATCTATAGTGTGTTTGTTTCCAACAACAAAAAAAAAGTTGAAATTTTCGTTCATCAAAATGATTATCATTATCAGACTACAATTTGACGACGACGACAATTTTTAGATTCTTTCACTGATCATGTTGATTATGATGATGGCAAGGCAATGATTTTTGATGATAATGGACAGACAGAAAGTAGAGAAAAAAAAAGAAACTCCATATACATCCATCCATATATTTTCATTATATAAAGTTATACCCGACCGAGCGAATAAAAAAAAATCGATTCTATACTTCATGATGATTGGCTGTGCCGGGTATATGTTTGCATTGTATATGTGTGTGGTTTGCCAAGAACGAAAAAAAATCGAAGCAGCAGCAGGCAAAGTTTTAATTTAAATCAAAAATTGAATTAAAATTTTCAATTCTTTTTTTTCAAACAACTTTTGAATTCAATATAAAAGAGAAATTCAGTTCATTTTCTATTTCTTCTATCTGTTTTTTTTCTTCTTAATTTTGAGTTCTTTTTGTCAACATGAACATGAATGTATGAAATCCGGTTGCGATTTTAGCACGAGTCGATTGCAATCAATTTCCGGCCTTAGTTGCAATACCAACAATGTTTACTTTATCGAACATTTTTCAAAATTCTTATACGAAAATTTAATTGGAACAAGGAGAGATGTATGTTTAGAGTTTCTGGCATTTGTCGCCTCAATTAATGCGAATCACTACGAATATTTTCACCGGATAATTAGACCGGGCTTTTTTTAAAAAAAATATGGAAATGGGTGATGACATCTTTAACACACACACACAATACATTCGTTTCCGGAGTTCTGTCATTGAATCAATATTTGCTCATTTTATGTTCAGTTTCGAAAACTGATTGTTCAATGAGACTGGCAAATAATAACCAGGAATGCAAGCCGTGAACAAAACAATGTGATTAATTTGTTTCCAAATATGGCAGTTCATTTACCAGTCGTTCTTGATTCTATAATAGATATGGCAATGGACCGTCAAACATTGTCGATTCGATTCGACTACCCGACGAAAATGGTGCCCATTTTTTTCAAATGTTCATAATTGAATGCATGAGAAGAAATCGATCGACACGTTTGCAAAAAAAATACTCTATTTCTATTTCTTGTCCATTGTTTCAAAATCAATAAATTCGAGCAAGTAAACGAATTCTAGTTTATTTGGGTGATAATTCAACAAACGAATGGCCAGTTGGAATATTCTGGTTTGGTAAGCCGTCTGCAAAAATAGTGAGGAAAAAAATCAATGAGAAAATGAGAAACCGATTGTGTACTATAGTTCGAAATCATTTCATTATTTAATCGAGATAATCATTATTGCCTAAGAAATTGGTTTCCTTCGTGATAATTATTCCGGCTGATAGTTTGATGAAGGTTCAAATGTGTTTGAGTGTACGTACAAAGCTTTAATTTGATCCATGGATTTTAATGCTAAAGTGAATATAAATGTGTAGCATTTGTTGATGATGACTCAAGATGGCTCATTCTATACATTTAAATTGAATTGTTCGATTGCTCGAATGCAAATCATTGAATTGTAAAGAAATTTTTCGCTCCTATAGAATCTCTTGTATATCACTGTACACTCATTCGGCTTGAACAAACAAACAAATGGATTCATATGACATGATTATGGCGTCGTTTCACAATTTTATTTTGTCGCTTGATTTCAATGATTTTTTTCTTTGCTAGATGACTACAACAGCCACAATCATAATAATAAAAAAAAGCTAAGCCAAATGATGAACGAATATAGGCAACCAGCCAGGCAAATGAAGATTTATTCTCTTATTTTGTTGATAATGATAATGACTTGTTCTATCTTTTTCTTTATTTATCCTATTCTTTTTACTACTTAGGCCTAAAAGATCGGGCCTTTTTTTGTCAACCGGGAAAATGTCTCAATATTAGATATATCAGCATAGAAACAAAACAAAACAAAACAAAAAAACATGAAATCAGCAACAACCATCATTTAAATGTTTACGACTTACATGTTATAGTGGGCGGTATTTTTCCGCGGTTGAAACAAATTCATGCCTTTTAACTTGGACTCTGTTCGTTTTGTTTTTGGATTGCACCAGCTATAACCATGATTTCAAGTGGAAATTTAAATTGCCTCAACTTTCTTTCTCGATGTTTTTCCTGTTACATGACCGTCATGATTATTCTGTTTTTTTTTTGTTCTTTTATTCGATACTCATGACTAACGTTAACATTCACCGCATCCAAAGCTATCATCATAATCATTTTGTTCGCCATGTCGACTTCTATAATGATGATGAACGCTTTGTCTAAGGTTTTGGCCCCTATTTCCACAACAACAAAAAAAATCATAGAGGAAAAAGTTTTTTTTTCAATTTACTAACTTTTTTTTCGTCCATTCTATTGCACTTAATAAAATTTCGCAATAATGTATGTTCGAATTGGACATACGGATCGATACAATTTACACAACTCTGAACAGCATATCGATCCAATGAATAGTTTCTGGTGATGATCCAGTTAGCTATAGTGTTTTTAATGTTTATATCTCTAACTTTTTTCATTTTTTTTTTCAAATATAGGAATGCAACACAAATATGAATGTGACATTGAAATCAATCTTTGCTTCTCCAATCCATGTCAAAATGGTGGTCAATGTGTACGAAAAGAAGGTGGTTATTACTGTGATTGTAATGATGGCTATGCAGGCAAAAATTGTGAAATTAATATCTGGACTGATATTTGTCGAACCAATTTATGTCGTGGTCGATCAAAATGTAATTCACCATTATCAAAGAATTTATTGGAACACGATACAAAATTACCACTTGACTCATACATAACTGGTAATTCATCCGCATCAACTATTGATATTCGAGCAATAACAGCTACCCAACAGCAAGGAATGGCTATTTGTACGGATTGTGTACAATCCGAATGGAGCACACCCTTCTGTGAGCTACGGTCACGTTCATTTGTAACCGGATCATATCTAACATTTTCAGCGCTAAAACAACGTTATCGATTAAATCTCAAACTTCGGTTTGCCACACGTCAGTCCAATGGCTTATTATTGTACAATGGTCGATATAATGAACTCCATGATTACATCGGATTGGAGCTCATCAATGGGCGAGTTTATTTTTCCTTCTCGTTAGGCGGTGTCAATCGAGCTCAGGTTTCCGTAGGCAATCGTCTGAATGATGGCCAATGGCATCACGTGCAAGTTAACTATGTAAATCGTACGGCTACATTGATATTAGATAACTGTGATGAAGCTTTGCTTAGTGCCGTTGATCGCTATGATTTGGGACCAGAATTTGCTTGTGCTAATCGTACCACTTTGATTCTTGAATCACGATGTTCCGATCGTATGCAAACCTGTTTCAGATTCCTTGATCTTACCGGACCGCTTCAGATTGGTGGACTTCCTCCATTGCCAACAGAATTCCAAGTGGAAAACACCGATTTTAATGGTTGTATATCGGATCTTCGTATCGATCATAATCTTGTCGATTTTGATGGCTACGTAGCAAATAATGGAACAATAGTTGGCTGTCCATCTAAAAAAAGCTTTTGTAACACCAATTCCTGCAATGGTCGAGGTCAATGTGAAGATGCTTGGAATGGCTACGTCTGTCGTTGTGAAAACGGTTATACTGGCCAAGATTGTTTGATATCGACTGATACTGTCAGACATTTCAAGGGCAATGGATTCTTGTCATTCACTCCTAATCTTCAGCCATTAGCTTACCCATGGATAGTTAGCTTTGATATGCGAACTTCTGCTCGTAATGCTATCATTGTTGCCATACAATTGGGCCAAAGCAGCATGGTACGATTCGAAATCATCGGCAGCAAATTGTCTTACGGTGTTGATGATCGACCACCGATTGTAATTGAAGATATGGAAATTAACGACGGCAAATGGCATCACGTGGAAGCACGATGGATGGCAATCGGTATCACATTGAGTGTCGATTATGGTCAATACACTAAACGAACACGACTAGATGGAGCTGAAATATTGGGTCTTTACATAGCTAAAGTAACAGTTGGTGGTCATGATACACCGGATGAGATCACTGAAGCTTATACATATCGATCACAAGCCCCAGCATTCATTGGCTGCATTCAATCATTGGATGTGGGCAATTCGAAAGAGTCGTGGCTACGACCAACTTTGGAAGATAATGTATTCATAGGGTGTCCATCACCTTCTTCAAACGGCAACGATCAATGCAAATCCGATCCTTGTCCATCGAACAGCGATTGCATTGTCAAGGGTATAAGTGACCATGAATGTCGTTGTCATCTTGGTTTTGTTGGCAAACACTGCATGCCCATATGCGAATTGAATCCATGTGCATATGGCTCAACTTGTGTAACAGCTAACAACACCTATGGCTATCGTTGTCTTTGTGATCGTTTTCATTCGGGCTTCTATTGCGAAGATCGTCTCCCCGAAACTTGTCCGGCTGATTGGTGGGGTTCACCTATTTGTGGCCCTTGCAATTGTGATGCTAGCAAAGGTTACGATGGTAATTGTAATAAGACGACTGGACAATGCTCCTGCCAAGCAAATCGTTTTCAACCGATCGGTTCTGATGTTTGTTTTGAATGTGATTGTTACACAACCGGTTCGTATACCAATCGATGTGATCGTCTAAATGGTCAATGTCAATGTCGGCCAGGTGTAATTGGACGTCGTTGCGACACATGTCCATCTCCATTTGCAGAAGTCACTAATCGTGGTTGTGAAGTCATTTATGATGCCTGTCCTCGTGCTTTTTCCGATGGAATATGGTGGGAACGAACACCATTCGGATCGAAATCAACTCGTCGTTGTCCGTCAGGCTCGACCGGTATGGCTCATCGTTTTTGTCGGCAAGGAGATGGTTGGCTGAAACCGGATCTTTTCGAATGCCTTTCGGATCCTTTCCTTGATCTACAAGAACAATGGAAAATTATTTCTGATTCTGATTCTCAGCAAAATGGCAGTATAGTCCTTATAAACACTCAGCATTCTATTCGACTGGTTAATGATCTGCGAACAGCCATCAATGTAACGGATTCATTCTATGGTGGTGATGTGCATCTGGTTTTTCATCTGGTTCGTCGTCTGATTCAGAATGAATTGTATCAAACAGGTCTAAATTTAACACATAAACAAGATCGTCACTTTCTTCGTAATTTATGCGAATCTACCAGTGCCATATTGGATCCTCGTTACTCTACCGTTTGGGAACGTATCGCTGACATCGATGTCGGTCCTGAACAACTTTTGAAGTTTTTTAATCAATATGCCGAAGTACTAATCAATAATCAACGCGATACATTCACTGAGCCATTTGAGATAGCCACTAAATGGCTAATATTTGGCTTGGATACTGTTGCCACCCACGAACTTTGGGATTTATCAAGCTTATTTCAGCGACAAGAACATCTGTCGAAATCTCATGACCATCATAGCCATAAACCATCTTCGATCCGCGAATCGAATTCTACTCCCTCAATATATCTGGATTTTAGTTTACCTCCAGATCCGCTAATCACATCTAGTATTGATCGAGAAGATGACACTATTCCGCTGAGTCAATTAAATCCATCTGTTGTCGTACCCAAATACAACAACTATCCATTACGAAAACACAATATTGATGATATAACGAAAGCCATCATACCGTTAAAAATATTGAATATTCAATCATTTGATGAATTACGATCGTCTTTGCCATCATCATCAGCATCAGCATCGCCAGCTTCATTGTTCAGGCCTCAACAACAACAGAATGCATTGGTTGGTTATACAATATTCACATCGATGGCTCAATTTTTACCCAGCAATACAGATTCGACTGTCAGGTAAACTATAATATGATTGCTTGTCTTCGTATTAATTATTCATGTTTATATTTCAAAGGCAACGTTTTTCGAATCCAATTAAAGCCAATACTCCGATAGTCACATTGACAATGAAACCAGCGAATAGTTCAGCTCAGAAATTTTTAGCTAAATCGTTACATCCGAAAATTCGATTTCGCTTCCGTACGTTAGCACGAGAAGGTCGATCAAGTCCTCAATGTGTTTATTGGGCATTTCCAACATCTACATCGGTGGCCACATCAGGTGTTTCGAATCGTCGTTCATCAAGTCGAGGACGTTGGTCATCAAAAGGATGTGAGCTGAAAGGTTTTTATCCTCCTCAACGATTTCGAACATCTTATGATTACATCAATTGCTCATGTGATCGAGCATTTGGAATGGCTGTTCTTATGGACGTTTCTGGTGATGAGGTAAGTGTTCAATTTAATAGTATTCACTTTTCATATCATAAATATGCAAACACAGTTCTACTACGAGGAATCCATATCGCAAATAGCCACATCGTATACGTTGACTATAACTTCGTTAATTTTGCTGGCATTGACATTAATCATTCTGTCGGTGGTCCGAGGACTTGATACGAATTCGAATTCCATACACAAAAACATTGTACTTTGTTTGTTTATGACCGAATTGATGTTCTTATTGGCCGTACGTAATCGCACCTCATTGGTCCAGATGGAATCCTCATGCAAATTAGTCGCCATATTTCTACACTATTCATTTCAATGTCTTTTTACATGGATGCTCATCGAAAGCATACATCTGTATCGTATGTTGACTGAAATTCGTGACATCAATCGTGGCCCTATGCGTTTCTATTATTTTGTTGGTTATGGTGTTGCAGCTATTATTGTCGCCTTATCAGTGGGTGTTCGCGCCGACCAATATGGCAATCATCTTTTGTAAGTCCAGTAACTTTCCGAGAATTCAAATAATGATTGATTTTTACTTACAGCTGCTTCATATCGATCTATGAAGGTGTCATATGGGGCCTCGTTACTCCATTATGTTTAATCATAATTGTAAGTCATCACAGACTTTTTATTATCATATTACACATTTTGTTTCATTTTCCTCATGATAAACTTCAGAATGAAAATAATCCAAGCAACATCGCGACCTTTTCTTTTTGCTAAATTTAATCCCACATTTAATATGCATTCATCTCATTTCATTTCCTTTTCCTTTGCTTAGTAAACCCACTTGAAATACTTTTCTTTGCAATGTCATTAGGCAATGTCTTTCAAAAAAAAGTCAAAAATTTGATAACAAGAAGTCTTAAGTATGTGACCACATGGCGCGTTCCAATAAGGCTCCTGGTTTTATATAATGATCGCCCATTTCGAATACACATTCAAGCCCAAAGTGTCATCACATATGATTATCATCTCAACCGTTAGTTTTCGCACAGCAGTCTCCCTTAATGAACTTCCATAATATCTTTTTATAGTGAAACAAGCTGGTAAAAGATAATTAGATTAGTTCCTATTATTCTTTGCGCCACTTGCCACATCTTAATCACCATCATCATCTTGATCAAGTTTAATTTCTAATTTTCTGTGAGGAAAAAACCAACTCATTTTTCCATTACTTAGTATCTTGTTATTAATATCCTGGTTTGTTTTGTTGTTTTTTTTTTTGATAAATAGGTGAATCTGTTTGTATTCATGTTGGCTATACAAGCATCAGCCCAATTCAAGGCAAGCGTCTGTGATTATGGCAATTTACGAACACTTTTGTGGCTATCAATCGTTTTGGTGCCTTTGTTGGTTGCTCTATGGATGTTGGCCCTGTTATCCATTAATGATACAATCGATGAATTACACTATGGCTATTCTTTTATGACATTGATCTGTGCATTGTACATATTCATTGCTTATTGCCTAGCTAATCGACGAGTCCGGTTTAGTTTGAATTCCGACTGGTGGCAATCTCTAGCTACCAGCCGAACACGACCCTGCTTAAACGGATCAGATGAAAGTGTTTCGGCTACTAGAACTTCGGTCACAAGTCGTAATGGACAAGGTGGCTATTATCATTCGGGTTCTACATTCGATGTATACGGCCTAAATCCACCAAGCCATGGCCAATCGAATGGTCAACCCATAGATTCATCGCAAATGGCCGCTGTTATTTCGAGCTCATCGACAACTAGCCGATCAACATTGACTAAAGGTTCAACTGGAATAGTTGAACCGACCGATGATGGTTCGAATGATCTTGGCGAAACTACTGACGATGGTTATCGCTATCACCGGAATCATGGACATGGCCATCATCACCATCACAGACGCCATCATCACAAATGTCGCCGTCGCTATCATCATGGTAGATCAAAACATTCGAGATCTCGTTCGGAAACAATCGAAGGATCGAGTGATGATCTCTCGTACGATTACTCCATGGAGTTGGCATCTAGTCATACCTCTGATGATGATGATAATGGAAATCAGAATGACGACCATGATGTTATGCAATCACACGATGCAGATCAAACTACCGCCGATCTGATGCAACACCATCAACAGAATCAAATCAATCAATTGATACAAGAACAACAGCAGCATACTGCGACTGGTAGTGGTATTTATGTCACCAATGCGATGAATATGATATCCGAACCTTCGAGTGATTTATCCTCAAATGCGCCTACTGTAATCTATGGCCAGAATAATCGATCATCGCCTGCCGCATATTTTGCTGTAGCAAAAGCAACGCCAGTCATATTGAAACAAACGGATGATGGACAACAAGCTCATTTGATGACAACATCAATGGTTGTTGCTGGACGCTCCAATCTAATGGCCATGACTGCCGGTCTAAATAACGGGGCTGATCAACCAGTTTCACCGATCTATGGACATCATCAAACCTCTGGACAAACCACAGAACATATTTATTCATATGCAAGAAAATCCAATCAGCCGGAACAACCGTCACATTATTCAACATTGGGACCAACTACTGCTCCAATAAATCCTGTTATCAAACCAATTGACGATGTCGGCTTACCTCCAGTAACTGGAACGACATATCGTTCTCATTATCAATCAATCAAAGAGAATCCATTACAGTCAGCAGCATGGTCTCATGTTAGATTATTACAACCATCATCACCTGTCTCAAAAACATCAACGGCTGACGAATCACCCGACAAATCAACATCAGTAACTAATGTTACTTAACCACATCTGTTAATAATCATTGTTCAATGAATTGATATTTTCGCTGTAATTTTACTTTTTTTTATATTGTAATTAAGCAAAGTTCATTGTAAATTTTAGCCATTCTTACCTCGTTACATTTGTATAGATAAATAGCTTTTAAATAATATTAAATAAAAAAATTGAAATAAATGCAAAATGAGAATAGATTTTTTATTCGAATACAAATCATGATGACTCATTAATAGCTATTATATGATAATGGAAAACAAATGTCCATGATCAAACGATGAAAAATAATATGATTACGAAGATAAAAATGATCAACTTTTGATGGCGTCCACACTAAAATTAATAAATTTGAATTAAAAAATATGCGTGGTATATTTGCAATACTCACCGATATGAACCGACTACAACTGCATGATCACGTTCATATGGTTCCAATGTTACTTGCTCCAATGGTTTAACACGTTCCTGTTGTAGTTTTTTCACTTCTTGGGCAAATACAGCCTCGGCGGGTGCAGTCGAATCGATGCAGTTTGCCTATTAAATCATGTCATGATTATTCAGTGAAAACGGGATATTTCTATGGTATCATACCTTAATCGAAACGACAACATGGCCACCAATTTTGAGAAAATATTGGGCATTAAGAAGCACTATCCTAGCTTGATCCGGTTGAGCAACATCAGCAAATATGGTATCCACCATCGAGACCAACATACGGTATTTATGCGGATGACGTGCATCTTCGATTATTGGCACTATGTTCGAACGTTTCTGTGCTACGGTCAATAAGTCACGTCCAGAGCGATGAGAAAATTCCACAGCATAAACTCGACCTTCTGGGCCGACAATATCGGATACATGCGATACTGTAGTACCAGATGCAGCGCCTAAGTAAAGTACTTTCGAACCAGGCTTTATGTGTATGTCTTCAACACCGCCCAATATCGATGCACCCAACTTCGAACGGAATGGATTCCATACACGGTATTCGATTTTTTGTCCATTTTCCACATCGACCGAAATTCGCTTTTCGCCATAAACCGAATCGCCTGGAACCAAATTTTTAGTGACCAAAGCGTCTTCTTTGCCACGGGCAACAAAAATGCCTTCTAATCGTTGATGAGGTTCAATGATAGCTTTACGACCACCTCTCATGCCACCGCGGCCGCCACCACCGCCACGACCACCTCCACCACCTCTTCCTCCCCTTTGACCAAATCCGCCGCGACCACCACCACCACCTCGACCGGGACTTCTTCCGAAACCCCCACGTCCTCCCCCTCGATCACCAAATGAGCCGCGGCCACCACCACCACCACCTCGACCACCACTGTAAATGAGTCAAGTAATGAGCAAAACATTGAATAGATGCTTTTCAAACTTACCCAAATTTATTTCCATTCGGTGTACCACCGAATTTTCCACCACCACGATTTCCACCAAAACCTCCACGGCCTCCGCCCCTTGAGCCACCACGAAATCCACCTCTTGGTGCACCAAAACCTAAACATCCAAGATTATGACATTGTTAAACTTGATTATACACATACCCATGATAATGAAATGAATGTAAAAATAAAGAAATTAATAAAAAGAAATGGTTCGATACGACTACAAGTCCAATCGAATCCCGTTTGTCAAATAAAATACAAGAACTGCTGAGTGAAATTCACACTTGAATTTGGTCCTGTCGATCAAGTGAAAACACGTGCTCTCAAAAACATGGATACTGGAGAATGCCCGTCACATACAATGTACGCACGAGAATCTTGTCCATATGGACAAGCATTAATGAAATTTCAATATCGTAAAATATTAAACTATCAATTAAATAGATTATTTATGCGACAAAATGGCTACCAATCTCTTATTGACGATGCCTGGCCAATCGTCCGCAGCAATTGACAAGCCTAAACACAATTATTGTGAAGATGATGAATACATTTTAAACGGAATTCGTTTCATGAATTTTCGCATGTTATCATCTGATGAGATTCAACGACATTCGGTAGTAAAAGTAGCCAACACATTTCTTTACGATGGGCTCACAACTAATCCTTCCAAGTTTGGCTTACTTGATCGAAAACTAGGTGAGTATGATGTTGTTAATCGAAGATTCTCATTATTGAATCTTTTTGATCATAGGAGTTGGAACCAAAAGCCTTAGATGTGAAACTTGTAATCGTGATTATAATGCCTGCGTTGGCCATTTTGGATGCATCGAATTAGCTTATCCTGTTTATCATGTTGGTTTCTTTAACTATACTGTCCAATTATTGCAATGCATTTGCAAACGCTGTGCTCGAATATTGCTGCCTAATGAATCCCGTCCGAAATATTTGCTTGGTATCAGTGATGACATGAATCCTCTTGCAAAAAAGGCTTTACATAAAAAAATCGTTGCTCATTGTAAAAAAATCAAAATTTGTCCACATTGTGATTTCGAAAATGGACAGATCAAAAAATATCCTTTCATGAAGATATTCCATCTTATACGAGCCAAAGAAACGGAATTATTGAGTTCGATATTCTATGACGAAGAGATGAACAGCAAAAATGAACGCAATAAAATTTCCATTGATGAAGCGGAAAACTATCTGGGAAATTCTTATGAATTTCTCACTCCGCATAATGTGCTTAAACTTTTCGAAAAAATTCCCAAATCAGATTATATCTTGTTGTTACTTTTGGACAATTCGCCTATGGATCTATTATGTACACATCTGCCGGTTCCTCCATGCATTATTAGGCCATCATCACATAATAACACCGGATTAAGATCGGTCGAAGATGAATTGACCATGAAATTGAATGAGATTTTAATTGCGAATGAAACGCTTAAGAAACGAATTCAAGATGGCTCTGTTTTCATCAAAATGATCGAAGCTTGGGATTTTCTTCAAGTACTGGTTTCTGTATACATTAATTCGGATGTTCGTAATTTACCTCCACAACACAATTCGGTAGCTTCAGGTCAAGGTATCGCACAACGTCTAAAAGGCAAAGAAGGTCGATTTCGCGCCAATCTTAGCGGTAAACGTGTCAACTATTCTGCTCGAACTGTCATTTCCCCAGATCCGAATTTAGCTATCGATGAGGTGGGCATACCACTGAAGATAGCCACTCACATGACTTTTCCGGTAGTAGTCACTCCATTCAACAAGAAATATTTGCAACAACTAGTTTTGAACGGTCCTTACCAACATCCAGGAGCAATATTTATATTAAATGAACATCGCAAAACGCATTTGAATTATGTAGATCGCAAGCATTTCGCAAGTAAACTCCAAATTGGGGATGTAGTTCTACGACACATGATTAACGGAGACTATGTTTTGTTTAATCGACAACCATCGCTTCATCGTCTATCGATCATGTGTCATCGCGTTCGTATACATCCGGATCAAACATTCAAATTTAATGAATGTGTTTGCTCTCCTTATAACGCCGATTTCGATGGCGACGAGATGAATGTTCATTTCATGCAGACAGAAGAGGCAAAGGCTGAAGCGGCCACCTTAATGCAATCAAAGTATAATCTTACTTCACCTAGAAATGGTGAACCAGTCATTTCACCGATTCAAGATTTTATTACATCTATTTATTTGATGACTAAACGCGATACATTTTACAGCCGATCCGAATTCGATCATTTACTCGGTATGCTTTTAGGTCATAAAGATTGTCGTCGAAAAATTTGCTTACCCAAACCTGCTATTATCAAACCAATACCATTATGGACTGGCAAACAAATAATTAGCATGATATTGAAACCTTTCGAAGACTGTGATTGTAGTTTGAATCTTAAATTCATGACTAAAGCATACAGCTCTAATGAGGAATTTTGTCCTAACGAAGGATGTATGAGTATTAAAGTTCACATGATATTCCGATAACTAAATTTTGTTTTATCACAGATATATGGATTCGCAATAGCGAGCTTATTTGTGGGACCTTAGATAAATCAGTGATTGGTGGTGGATCTAAAAAGAATATTTTTTATCTTATTCTCAAAGAATACAACCCCAATGATTCAATCGACACTATGCTCAGGCTGTGTCGTGTATCGAGCTTTTACATAAGTATGACGACATTATTTGTATATTTTTAATTGATTATGTTTTTACTATTTACAGCAAATTATGGATTTTCGATCGGCATTGATGATGTAACACCTACTCGTGCTTTAATTGAGCAAAAAGAGGTGCTTGTTACGAAAGGTTACACCAATGTTAAAACCTACATAGATCGATACAATCGCGGTTTATTAAATCCGATTACCGGTTTGACTCGTGAACAGACACTTGAGTCATTGATTCTCAAAGAACTATCAGAAATTCGCGACCATGCTGGCAAAGCTTGTATCAAACATATAAGTCCTCGAAATTCTCCTCTGGTCATGGCAAATTGTGGTTCCAAAGGTTCGCATATAAATATTTCGCAGATGGCTGTTTGCGTTGGTCAGCAATCAATTCGTAACCAACGAGTACCCGAAGGTTTCAATAAACGTGTCCTCCCTCATTTTGATTTCTTTGATCGTTCACCTGAAGCACGTGGATTTGTCGCCAATTCGTTCTACTCAGGACTCAATCCTTTTGAATTCTTTTTTCATGCAATGGCTGGCCGCGAGGGATTGCTCGATACAGCAGTTAAAACTGCCGAAACCGGTTATATGCAACGACGGTTAATCAAAGGTCTAGAAGATTTAGTTGTTCATTACGACTACTCTGTACGTAACAGTGATGGTGAAATTATTCAATTTGATTATGGAGATGATTGCCTTGATCCGATAAATATTGAATCCAGTGATATGTTTGCTGATTTTGATTACTATTGGAACCACATACTCAGCATCAATTCATATCCGCAAGAACCAACATTGAATCAAAATCAGATTTACTGTTCTGCGCAGAAGATTTTACAGCGCAAAGAATTTGCAAATTCTATTCTCCCATTTTATATAGAAAAAATTTTAAAATTTTTCGAAGAGAAAGTTTGTGATAAATTTGAAAGGCTGAAAAATAAAACACACTCATCTCATGTCCGAATTTGCTCTAGTCACGTCGAAGCATTTTTACAGCGAATTCTTCGTAAATTAATGGAATCAAAAATTGATCCTGGCACAGCGATCGGCGCCATATGTGCTCAATCAATAGGAGAACCAACGACGCAGATGACATTGAAAACGTTTCATTTTGCCGGCGTTGCTTCCATGAACATCACTCAAGGTGTGCCACGTATCACTGAGATTATTAATGCGACAAAGAATCCTTCGACGCCATTCATAAAAGCGCATCTTGTTGATCCAACATCAGTTGAATTGGCTGAAATTGTCAAATTGAAAATAGAAAACGTTTACTTGGATCAAATTTGTGAAAAAATTTATCAAACCTTTATTGATGGGTTCTTATGCTATATACTTAAGCTAAACCAATTAGTTTACAAACAGGTGAGTTATGAACTTATTTTTGTTGAGCGTAATAATTTATTGATGGATAATAATATTACAGTTACATCTGAATGAGATTATGGTTGAAGAGGCGATCAATACTCAGCTCAAGCCTGATATTTGCAAGATTATTTACCCTTATGTTAAAATCTTTCCTAATGTTCGCCGTATGATCTATCTTCCTCGAATGTTCGAAGATGATTTGGCCAAAGTTTTCATCTCAGGGAATCGACACGTACAACGTGCTACCATTCACGAGGATGGTGGCAAATATTACTTAATGATCGAAGGCAATGGTTTTCTTCATGTTCTCGGTACTGATGGTGTCGATTCTCGGCTCACCAGCTCGAATAACATCCACGAAGTTGCCGCAGTATTGGGCATTGAAGCTGCTCGTGCTACTATAATTAGTGAGATTAAAACCACAATGAAAGGATATGGCATTACGATCGATGAACGGCATTTGATGTTATTGGCCGACACAATGACCGCTTCCGGCCATGTTGTTGGCATGACACGGTCAGGCTTTTCAAAAGTGAAAAGTTCCACAATCAAAATGGCATCCGTAAGCGTTTAATCTATTTGAATAAATGAATTTGTCTGACTTTTCTTTTTTAACATAGTTTGAACGAACTATCGATAATCTGTATGAGGCATCGTACTACAATAATCGTGATTATGTTCTTGGTGCATCTGAATGCATTATCGTCGGTGCACCTACCAAAATGGGAACCGGATTTTTCGATATTGTGCCTGATTTGAGATCATCTTTATTGTCATCAACAATTTCTAAAAATATTGATTACAAGAATGAAAAATCTAAAGTGGATTTATTTGATGGCATTGAGTTTTAAGATTTGGGTAGATAAAATATATTCTTTATGTGATAAGCCAATCCAATTTTTTTGTGTATATATCAATATTGTTTGAATCATTGTTTGACTAATATTGATTGCATCTTATATTTGATTTTAATTAAATTTGAAAAGTCAATTGTGCAATAATAATTGAGTCATATAATGAAACTCATTTAACAAACCTTGTTTTACAATTAAAGTTTATTTTCTAATCAATATGTTTATGATCTTTTGTTATTCAAACCAATAAACATTTGTTTCCTCTCTTTCAAATATGGAAATCAAAAACAAAAAAAAATCTGTAAAATATCTATTGTTGTTGTTGAAAATTGAGAAAAATTTCGGTGTTTTGATATTTTCATTCATAAAAAGAAACCATAACCGGTCTTCAATTATTGTCTAATTATTTAACAATATTCAAAAAAAAAACAATTTTTCAATATAAATCAATATAAAATTTTATTATGATCAAGTCTATTTAAATCGGTGAAAAAAAAAATATTCTATAAATCATTAAAGATGAATGTATTTCAATTCATTTTCCAAGATTGGTCGAACTGTTTCATCGACAGCATCGATAATCTGTGCATTGAACAATTTAACAATTCCTGCGGTGATAAGGTCAAGGATACCATCAATGAATTTATTATGTTCAGCATCCTTCAATCGGAGATGTACTTTAGAAATTTCATTGATATAGAACGATTTAAGAGTAACATTTGCGCCAACTTCCAAACCAATGTCAAAATTCATGTTTTCAATATGAGCGACAATTGGAATTGCTGGAATTTGAGGTAAGGAACCAATTCTGCCAGAAATGTCAGCATCTAATACGACTTCATCGCTGGTGATCAATTCGATGTTAATGTTGATTAGTCCGTTTTTGCTAGCGATTTTACAATCACCCTTTCGTTGTAACGTATTGAAACCTTGGATTACACCTTTGGAAATTTTAAGATGTCCCATGATTGGCAAAGGTCCGATATCTTCCATAATATCTTGTTCATAATCTTTGTGAAGTTTCAATGGATTCAAATCACTAGATTTGAGAATACCGCCCAACATTTGATCAGCAAGTTTGTTCATGGCATCTTGTTTGGTATCAGCTTCATTTCAAAATCAATAATTATTGAAAAGTTAAATTAATTATTATTCAACTCACCTAAAGCTGAACCAACGGCCAAGCATAACAAAGCATAAGCGTAGATAGATTTCATTTTTTTAATGTTTCAAGTAGTATTCAGTTTTTCAATTAAAACTATATCAACCCGTGGTTTTAGAAATGGCAAAATTTTCTACTTTTATATAATTTTCAGAAGGATAATTTTTTTTGGATAATATGATTGGAAAATGCACCCGATCATTTTGATTGATCATAAAGACGCATCCTTGACAATGAGAAATATCTTGTGATTTCATTACTGATCCAATTACAAGATCAATTTAAAAAATTTAGATAACATACAGCTCAAAACGCTTTCTATAATTAATAGGATTAAAAATTTCTACTTGAAATTGTGGAACCCCCCACTTAAATGTTAATCATTTATCATCTTGTAATTAATTTAATTTAATTAGTACCCAAAAATTTCATCATATGATTAGTGCAAACTTAGTTTTTACAAGTGCACCTTATTTCTTTCTTCCGCTCGCATTACACTTACCTTCAAAACCAATTAAGTTTTAGCTTTATTCTTTACTTTTAGCATGAATGTTTGACTATTTGCATATGTCAATAGATTAATGACAACGATGACCAAAATTGGTTTGTTTGATTAATTTTCGATTTTTATTGTGGTTTTTTCTTGTTAATTCATCTGAATATATAGCGTTTTGGAAATCCCATCGCTTTTCAATAAAATTCAATGAAAACTCCAATGTTTTTTTCTATTACGCATTTCTCACCTTTTCAGTGATGAATCTGAAAGGTGAAGATAATAAATTCGCATTTTTATAAGTACATCAATGTTTTTTGTTTTTGTTTTCATCTTATCTTGTTTGTATTTAACACTTTCAAATCTATAACAAACCAAAACAGTAATTTAGAAAATGATTACATTTCTGTTGTTTTTTCAATACTTTCGATACAAGGATATAGATGAAAATATCTTCTACCCTCATATGATGACCATTCCTCTAGATTCGTTTTGCATTTTTTCTCGATTTTATTGTTTAATTTAAAATAATAATCATTCATGTTATGATATCTATGGGTAATGTAATGAAAAATGTTCAAAATATTCATGTGTGAATGTCATACACTGATGGCCATAACCATGATAATAATTATAATCCACATTGTAAATTTCGCACCTTTCCTGTGGTAATTTCACCAGTGTTTTCACCATTCGGAGTTGCAAATTTTTTCGGGTTTTTTCTTTGTTTATTTGTTTTTCATTTCATTGCGGTGATATGTATGTTTGTTAACAAATTGATTTTAAATTCCTCATTGTCAATGATAATATTCAGAAAACTACAAAATTAACGACTACAGCATATTGATATTAGCTAATGAATGACGTTGACTTTAATTTCATTGCAGACGAATTTGAATTGGTTACCATTATTATTATTGTGAATTATTGTTTTTGCTGTTTTTTTATCATTTCATTTAAATATCTTCTTTTAAAATTCATATAAAATGACTAGTAATTTTTCGTCAATGTAAAAAACATCTTAGTAGTTATCGTTGAAAATCGATGTCGATGATCTTATAAATATTCTGCCGTCTATCTATTCATTTAATATATATTTTTAATTGTTATTATCTTATGTCATATGTCTAATCGACTATTGTATGATATACGATATCAATTCATAGACCAGGAAATTTGGTGTTTATTACAATGACTATTTAATGACAACAATTTTTCAAAGTTAAAATCTGCCTTGAATTTTGTGAATTTTGTTAATTTCATCAATATCTAAAGCTATAACTACAATCAAAAAAAATGAATACTCGAAATTTTCATCAAACCATCATCTTTATGATGATCATCTTGTCTTCTTGTTTTGTTCGACCATCTCAACAGCTAGGAATATTCGACATGTATGAACTATATGATGGAATACAGTGTTCAATACAGATTGTACAATTATTGCTAATCGATTATAATCAACCAATATGTTGTATCTTTTGGAAAATGAAAAATTTCTTTGAGACACAAGGTGACGCAAATTGTGATACACCTGATAATATTCGAAAATTATTTTCCGGTGAAGCGATTGTAGATTATGTGGATTTTTCTAAGATGGATTGCTCACGTTATCCTGAAAATTCCCCCGACTGTGATCGTCTTTGGGCAATAATTATTACAGTTTTAGTCGGACAAATTATTTTATTTTTCGTATTCTTTTTGACAACTATTTTGTTAACCTGTTGGCTATGCCATTTGCGACGATATCGTCAAACTGAAAAATTAATGAAAGCGAAATTAATGATGAACGATATGGAAACAAGTTCATTGTCAATAAGTGATCAATTTGAAGATTCTGATACCGAAACTATGGCAAACCATTCATCAATGAAATGTTTAATAGAGAGCATAAATCGTAACATTGTTACCATTAATGATTATAATCCAATCAAACAACAATATGACAGCGATTCTGATGATCAAAGTAAAATTGCAAACAAGGAAAAAATGGCAATGAACGTGCCTTATAATTTATTGATTAATAAAAATAAAGATAATAAAAAAAATAATGTAGAAAAAAATATTGAAATCCCAAGATTTGTGTATCGAACGAATGCAGTTGCCATTCAAGGAAATACTTTTTCACCATCCGTGTCATATACTTCAGTAGTCGAAAACCATTCAAAATCAGATGATAATGGTATTTATAATAAAGTCAATGATCAAAATGGGAATGATATTTGTGATGAAGATAATCCAGAAGCCAAAACAAATAAACAATTTGACTCCATGGAAGACTTTGTTTAAAATTTTGCGTTTTTTTATGTATACAAATACTCATTACTCGACTATTGACTTCTACATTCGATCTTTTTTCCTTGGCTTATCAATTAATTGAATTTGGTGTCTATTTTTGCTATGATAAAAATATTTATATATAATAACAAAAAAAACGGTTTCAATTATATTCATTATTGTACAAGAAAATCAATGTCTTTATTCATAATTGTAATAATTCTCAACTCCATCATAACAATAATTCGAAAATTGTACATAACAATGATAAAAATCACTTATTAAAAAAAATTAAATTTCATCATTTTGTGAATATTTGTTTTATATGCAATTAAAATTGTAAAACTTTAAAGAAAAATGGCTAGGATAAATTGATGACCAAACCATTAACCTGAATATTATATAATCATAATTATATTACCATTTTGATCATATTTAAAATAATCATCAAATTAATAAAGTATTATGTTGATTAAGAATTATTATGTTTTGAATCAAACCAAGGTCATTTCAAATCAAAATTATGGGCAAATATTTTATGATGATCAAAAAGGATATCCTCTTGATATATTCCATGATTTTGAAAAAAACATTGGTGTCAGTTACGTGTGAGTATCAAATGAGAATCAAAACTAACTCAACTTCATTCATTCGATTTGATTTGAATTTAAAATAATTTTTCCAAAATTTAAATTATTCAGTTAATATCGATAATGTTTGTTTATAATGTTTATTTTTTCTACTGACATTACAATGATCACGATTTTAAGATAATGATTTAAAGAGAATTAAACTAATATTTTAGTGCAATACAGTAAACAGAAAAATTAATGCTAGAATAAATGTCATAAATGCCATGATTGTTTTTCGAAAGAAAAATTTCAATGCAATTGTACACGTAGAAATTGATGATGTAATTAATTTGATTCTCATATCATTTTATTTAATCAGTAAAATTGATTAGTTTCTCTTCTGTTTTCAATTAATTTCACAAAATTTTTATAATCTCACCATTTAAAGTGTTAATGTAGTTGAAGATCAAGTTTTCATGATCAAGGTTGTTTTTATCATTGTAGTGGTAATATATCATAACAGATTATTATCGATTGAATTACATTTATTTTAAGAAAATTATTATTTTTGAAGAAATATTACTTAATGGAAATAGATTATTAAATCAGAATTTTGTCGATATTTTTGTTATCGGTTTCCTGTTGATGGAATGGTAATTTGTTAGCGTCTTATCCATATTTACAATGACAGGTACAGTAATTTCCAAAATCAATGGCTTATTGTGATGAACATTTTGGTTTTATATTCTTTTAATGAAAATTCGATGTGAATTTTTCCAAATTCAATTCTTTTCGTTAAACATACCTGGCAAATGGAAGGTATCATATGGTAAATTGACAGTAGAGACTGGAGCCGGCATAAATGTTGGATATGAATTCGGTTGTAAATAGGATTCGTATGAAAAAGTTGATCCAGGCAGATAATATTGATATTGATGGTTACTTTGTGGGGAATTTTGTTGCATGAAATAAATACTGCCACCAAGGAACGATGTTGTTGGCTGATGGCCATACCCTTGACCATTAATTAATTTCTGTAGAAATGATTCTTGATTGCCATTTGTAGAATAGTAATGCTGGGATTCCGGGGAAAAATTCTTCAAATAGTTAGTCACAGGTTGGAGATCTTGTACTGAATTTGGATTGAAAACTTTATTGATTAATGTTTCAATAATTTCATTGTTATGTGGGATCGAAGATTTAAAATTCGAATAACTATTCGAAGCAAAAGTAGCGTGTTTATTTATAGAAGTCTGAACTTTTCTTTTTTTTGAGCTTCTTAACTTTTCATTATCTAGTTTGATCGAAAGTTGTCCAGTCGGAGTAATTGTTTTTGCTTTTGCGACTAGGATTTCTGAGGCCGTTCTTGGAGTCGATAATGTAGACATGAGTGACAATGTTTGATTTGCCATTGCTTGTGTAGTAGGCATTAGAGATGTTTGAAGTGATAACGGAATTGGAGGCGTTTCTGGTGGCAAAATTCGAACAGTCAATGGTGGGGTTTCCATTTCACTGACCAATGTAATCGGTGGTTGTAAATGCGAAGGCATAAATTGTCCAACAACAATCGGGATTATACATGTTGTTTGAATTATCAACAACAACAATAACAACCGGATCTATTTCATTCATTCAAATCAATAGTGAAAAAAAATCAATCATTGTTATATAATTGTTTATAGAAATTCACCCACATTCATTTTTTTAAAATATTCAATAAAAAGCCAGCAAAGAGTGGTGACAAACAATCTAACAAAGTGTTTAGGATTTTATATTTATATATGATCAGATAATGCGATGAAGAGAACCATATTGCTAATAATGTTGGTAATAATGATGCCCATAGGCAAATTCTGCTTTAAACGCAGTTCTTGATGATGAACTTGTTTACAATTTTCCTCTTATACTGTCACCATGATATTATCGACAACATCTTTATTATTTTCTTTTTTTTTGCTGCTTTCACTATCTTTTCTGCTTATTAAAAAAATTGTATTCATTACAAAATAACAATCATCAGAAAAAAGGTTCATTCAGATTTGGATGAGTTGTCACATAAAATATAAATCTAGAAAAATCTAAGATCAAAATTTAAGTTAAAAAATTCACCAAATAAACAGAAGAAATCAATACGTAATAAAAGCAGATTTCTATCGATTCAAAATAAAATAAAAATAAATGATTCAATTTTAATTGGTTTTTATTTTTTTTTAAATTTGGAATAACAAAATTTATCAAACAAATGATCATTTATCGGATGACATTGAGATGATTATAGCCAAAAATCTTGGCCAGAAATTGCGACATTGAAAATTGTTTTCAGGATTTATCATCATATCGACTGAGATTCGCCATCTTGTCAGAATGGACAATAGTTATACAAGTAGGACCTTTCGCATCTTGAACGATTTGTTAGCATTCAATGCGGATGTAGTTTCCTCCAACAATACTTTAGATGGAACACGAACTAATGCGCGGGCAATAGCGATGATAGAATAGAAAAATTTAATTATAATAATAAATTTGATTTTAATCATTATAATTAGTTCTTTCAGTTATTTTCTTTTGGTTTCTGTTTCTTTACAATTTGTGACTTTTTGTGACTCTTTTGTTAAGTTATTCAAAAGAATTTATCGTCTGAATAAGATATAAAAAGACAGAATTTGTATTGCATGTAAATGTTAGTAGACGAAAATAATGAAGGGTCGGAACTAACTATTCTTTTGTCTTCATCATAAGCTCTAATCAAAATGTTTGAAATTTTTTTTTGTGTCAACTAAAATATTACATCAGAACAGCTAAAAGCTTAGGACTTTAACCAAATCCATCACTGAGATACGGGAAAAACATCAATGAAATCAGTGATGCTTTCTGTTAGCTGCATTTTATAATTTCAACTTTCGAATGTCGATTTCTACCGAAACTGAATTAAAAATCGATAATAATTTGAACAGAAATCAAAATAATAACTTGAATAAAAGGGATGTTTCAATATAGTAGTTTGAATAATAATGAAGTATTTCTTGTCTGTAAATATGTCATTTTCATGTAGATTGCCCATTTTCCAATTATGTGTAAGTGGTTTTGTGTAATGGTTAGTTGAAATTGAATTATTTAAAAATTGTGGTATTTTCAAAAATCTTATTGAATGGTAGATTGTTGTTGTATTTCAATTTTTTCGACAGTCATATCAGGATTCATCATTGTTGCTTCTTGTATAGCGTCAGCTAATGCACGGTCATGATCGATTGGATCACCATCCGATTGTATAGTAATTTTTTGTTCCACACGTGTTTCGACGACACCATCTTTTTCCATTTTGTACTAAAATTCGATATTAAATAAAGCAAATTTTTTTCAAATAAATGATTGTGTCTCATTTTAATTATAAAATCTCACTCTATATAAAACTTACCGTTATGGTTTCTACTGTACGTGTTTTTGATGAAATTGTTTGTGATGAAATTATATCGGCTGGATCAACATTCTCAAGACCGGGTATTGAATGAAGCTCTTCAGCTGTGATACCATTATCAGTATTATTATCATTGGCAAATTGTGGTGGTGGTGGCGGTGTATACGGTTTTGATTTAGGCTATATTTGATTGAATGATGAATTATTATTTGTTTATTCTTTTAATGAAAAAAAATCGATTGATATTTACCTTCGTTTCAGTATAAGCAACTTTACGCGTTTCAGTGGCAATTACTGGTACCGATTTTGGCTGATTTAAAGCACCGAATTTCGGTTTAACGCCCGAAGTTGCATCATCACCGCTATCACCGATTAAAGTAGCTGTAGTTATATTCTCTTGTTTATGTTTTAATTTAGTTCGTTCCTCATAGATAGATTTGGCAAGGCCATCAGAACTTTGCGTATGATAACCTTTTGTATCTTCTTCGGATGCTTCAACAATTTTCGTTGTGGTCGAACCTTTTGGTCCAGTTTGTTGGGTTGTTGAATATGCATTATAATCTTGACTATGATTTTGATAAGTTGGTGGAGATGTTGGAGTCGTCGTTCCACTCAAACGAAATCGAGCCTTTAGAAAAAAAATCAACAGATTAGAGTATATCATAACAAATGATTTTAGATAATAAACAATAAAAAAGGAAATAAAATTAAATGAAATTATAAAAAATTGGCCAAATTAGGAATCAAGTTGAAAAATGAAAACATTAAGCGCAATAGAGCAGAAGGAATAGAATCTTTGTCACCGAAATTGAAGACCAGAAAAGAGAAAGATCAATGATAGAGTGTTTACAAGTGATAAAATATACCGGTTCTGGTCGTGAATAGGTTGCAGTTGTTGTTGATGATGTGGTCGATGGTACAACACCCACAACTTTTGGTTTAGTTGTTGTCATCGATGTCAGAGAAGAAGGATCAAGAACTTCTTCGGTCTCATAAGTAGAACCATCTGAATTTGTTACAACACGTTTACGACTTGCATGAGTTATTTTTGGTCCATTGTAACCTTGTTCTTGTTGTGAATAGGGCTGCTGAGATGAAGATGATGATGAAAGCCGATTATTGGATAATGAATCAAAAATTGATGTTGGTTTCGGTTTAGTAGGAGGTGGTGGTGGTGATTTTAATGAACGCTGCCCTGTTGATCGATCAACATTTTGAGGCTTTGGTGATAATGCAGGCTTGGTTTTAATTCCAGATGGTGGTAATTTGGCAGATGCACCGGTAGTAGTGGTTGGTTCTACATAACTTTCTTTTTCATATTGATCTAAACTAGATGATGATGAAGAAATGGAAGATTCACTGGATAATTCTTCTAATTTAGAATCTTTTGATTGTCGAGAAAAACGACCACTACCAAAAGTATCAGGAGTTGAAATTGTCGATTTAGTTTTTGATTGTTGCTGCTTACGATCCATAGATGATGATTTTGGATGAATAGGTGATTGATGTGGGGCGGATTTGTTCATTTTGGTCATTGAGGGTTTTGTTATAGCTGCTGATGATGGTGATATTGGTGATGTTGTATGCATAGTTTTGGCTTTAGGTGTTGCCGATGATCTACTATATGGTGATTGTTCGGGTAAACCAGTTGTTTCGGGACTGTAGGTGAAAGCTAAACCGGTGAGAGGGCGTGATTGTTGGCCACTGACAGTAGGTGTGGTCGGACTTCGAGCAGCGTTCGGTGATCGAATCGCTGTTGGAGAAGTGGCGGTAGTTCGTTGGTCATTAGTTGCATCCATATAGCTAAAACCATGTTCGCGCGGGTCGATCATACGGCGGGATGATTGTTGTCCATCTTGGGGCGAATCATCATTATATGTGTATTCTCGAACATATGGAGATTTATGTGATTTACGGAAACTAAAGCTAGTGGGTGATGTTGCATTTTCATCCTGATGATGATGACGTTGATCTTGATTACCATTACCAATGGATGAAGATGTCAATTTACGTGGTTCATTTGTAAAAAAATCTTCACGTAATTCTTGACGATGTTTCAATGAACGTGAAGAGTAGGGCTTAATTTTTAAATGATTTATGAACGGGGTTAATAATATGCGATTATTTAAAAGCCGTTAAGTATAAGGGGACCGTGACAATCGAAGCGTTATTTCAATATGAGACGAAACAATGAACAAACATGAAACGACCGACATAAAAGATGGTGACCGATTCGATTTAAATAAACAGGGAATAATCATGCGAAAAAAACAAAACAAAAATTCATGCAAACAAATAAAATCATCGAGACGAAAATAAAATGTCAATAAATCAATTTTTTTTTTTTAAAGAAGATAAATGACAAAAATTTCACAAAAACATACCTCTTGACGATCGGATGGTGATGTTGGTGATTTTAATTTTGATTCATTTGGTGATGTTGGTGTGCGCCGTTGATCTTCAATACGTTTCATCTCCATTGGTGGCAAAACGGCAATACCACCGACCGGTTTTCGCTGATGTTGTCCTTTACGCGTTTGTTGATCATATGCTAATTCATCTGCTGCGGATGTAGGTGATGTTGGACTGGTTACACCGGATGCGGTAAATGCAGCTGAATAACGATTATTTATTGATGCTGGTATTGTTTCCATTGAATTAGTTGAATGTGGTTGTTGTTGTTGACCTTGGCGAATTTTTTTAGGTGATCGATCCAATGTTGAACTTTCATATACTGATCGTGGTGTTCCTGATATTCAAAAATGAATGAACAATAAAAAACGAGGTAAATGAGGTTTGATTCAATATAACAGTCTTTAAATACTATTTGTGAAAGTCAGATCAAGCACAATAAACAAAAATAGACACCCCGAAAAATGATACCCCAAAAGAAATACAAAACAACTCAGCATTGAATGTCGCTGAACAGTAACGATTATATAGCGAAATAGAAAAGCATTCATATAAAAGTGTAATTGAAAAAAACCAAAGCCAAAAAGAGATTTAATGAAAAGATTAAGTTCATCATCAGGATTATTCTAGCATTCTAACGAAGAAGGATTACGTAAAGATGGGTGTGTGGTTGAAGACCGACCTTGGAAAGGATAAGATGGTTTTGCAGTAGCTACAGAAGAATCTAGTTTCCTAGATTTATAGGTTGTGGATGAGTTACGTTTTCGGCCATTATATTCGGCTTCATTGTTTGATCGATCATCGAACGGTGATCGCAAGGCAGGTGATGAACGATAGCGTTCTATGTAACTATTGCCATAAACTATGGATTCATAATATTCACAGTTTATATTGACAGATCAAATATTCGGGATTTTTAAGAAAGAATTCAATAATGGCAATGGTAACAAAAAAAGGGAAGGTGCATTTGTTATTAATAATAAGGTACACTTACCACCATCAATAGATCGGGTTGTGTTTGTTAGATGACGTGAACTAAGTGATCGGCGAAAATTAACAGCGGGACGATCAATAAGATCACTGGCCATTTTGGTCTGATAATGTGTTTTGCCCGAATAACGAAATTTTGAACCAAAACGAGGAAAAAATAATTTGGTACGTGGTGGTGGTTCTGGTTGCATTAAACGGAAAAATGTATGATGTTCTACACATGTTTTCCAAAGCCGTTTCGCTGAACGATGATTGGCCAATTTAAAACCTAAAGTGCTTTCATATTGTTCGAATTCTCCAGGACGAATTTTGATATAAAAATTGTTTCGTTTATAAGATATTTTGAGTATTTTAGGCCAAGCAAATCGATTGATGCGTAAACGATCGCGAAAAACATGCAGGCCAGAGGAAGAAACACCTATCATGATGTCCAGGCCAGATTGTTCTTTGGCCGGATGTAGATCAATACCATACATGGCTAATTTTTTTGCATTCTCCAAATATTGTATATCAGCTTCATCCGATGCCATTCCTCGATGTTGTTTATGTAATTCACAAACTTTTTCCAATAATTCGGGAGTCTGATTTGGAGCGAAATGTAATACGCTTAAATAACGACCTTGTTCATCATGTTCACTGGTATCGAAATCGCCCAATTCTGATTGAGCAAGATACGAACCAAGGATGGCATGTGTAACAAATGAACATGGAATTCGTCCGGAAAGAATATCTTTACGTATCTGAAGACAAACCAAATATCTAGTTATATCTTCATGTAATTGTGTTGGATCAGGTGGATAAAATTTTACTTCGAAACGAAGAAGCCATGAAGTATCTACATTTAAACAGATATAAATGAAACAAAAAACATCAAATCCATAAGTTGAAAGAATAAAATAGATATGACAAATACTAACTTCGTAATTGTTTTCCGATTCTTTTTTCTAAATTGAGCCAGTTCTGAAAATGAAATTGATGAATTAAATTGCATTTCTCATAAATAGATTGAAAAAACTTTACGTACTCTTGAATCATCATTCTCACGAAATGAAAGGCCAAAATAATCTTTTTCAAGTAAATTTAGATAATCACAAACTTTATTGAATACGTCATCTCCTCGTGCATTTTTCTAAAAATGTATAAATAGAAAGATAATCAATCGATTAATAGGAAGGCCATGTGCAAAGAATAACTTACATCGACTTCACAGGTAAATTCTTCATCATCAAGTAGAATCACCTGTATGTTGGCCAAACTTGAACGGCTGCCACGTTTATTATTATTACTCAATGTTGTTGATGTTCCTGTTCCAGTTTTAGATTTTTTACCACCGCCACCACCACTGACGCCACCTGTACTACGTGATGGTGAACGATCCTGATGATGGCCATTCATATCCTGATGATGACTTATATCGGCTGTTGATGCATCTGATGTTGGCTGTTCCATTGTAATGGAATCACCTTCAGCCATTTTTTTTATTTCCTTTTAGTCGATAAAAATAACTTCCAAAAAATAAATATCTATAAACATGAATCAAAAGCAGAGAAATGTGTTAGTTTGCTTAAAAATTGTACCCTTAAATTTGGCTTTGAAGAAAAACGTGCGTACAGCGAATGGAAGGGAAAATTAATTGGGCGTCAATTCATAGATTACATATACAATTTTTAATCAACAAGCCACCTAAAAACACCATCTTAGACATAGATTAATCAACTTTATATGAATAACAAAATAGGGTCAAAACACACAAACAAACATTTTTAAATCCTCGGACATTTGCTTATAACTAACACGAATCGTCATAAGCAAAAGTAAAAAAAAAGAAAAGAAAAAAGAATCAACTATCTATCGAGTAGGTAGACATAGGAATTATGAACCAAGCCCACCATAATAATAATGGCAATTTTGGTTCAAGTTGAGTTGATTTTAGTTAAATGTACAAAAAAACAAAGATAGTAAATCCTTAATCATTAATTTAAAGATCAAAAAAACAAAAACAACAACATCATCAAATGAATAAGTTTGTACAATTTTTGGTATTCCATTCTAAATGCTGATAATTAAAACAAACAATTTTGCTGCCTATTTTTGGATTTGAAAAAATAATGAAAATTGAAAAAACTGATACAAAAATGAAATTTTCAAAATTCTTGCTATAAAAGTTAATGGTATTAATTTTTCACTCATTTTTCATCTCAAATATTGATAATCCGAAACGGAAACAACACCCAATTTTATCAGAAAATAAAATAAATTAAAGTTTTTATAATGTTTTTAATCATATAATTGCAAAATTATTTTATCACATATGCGGGCTTATTCAATTGATATGGTTGATTGATTGAGCCTTGTTTTCATATATGATGGGATGTAAGTAATATTCATTATGATGTGCGAATCCAATGAACATTATAATTATTCTATTATTATAGAAATCGAATAAAAATGTTTTGTCTGGTAAAAATTATTGGAGAAAAGAAAAAAGTTTGTCGATCATTATTTGAAAATAAATAATGATATGACATTAAAATGTCATAAACAAAACGAAAAAAATACAATTGATTCAGAAGATCAAATCAATCAAAAAAGAACGAAAAAAGCACGGCAGGTATCCAAAACATCAAGTTTGGTCATTTTGCCAATTGTTAGAAAAAAATGGTTAACAATGACAGCTCTGTCCTTCGCTGTCATGAGAAGTTTGAAATATTTACCGTCAACCACAATCAACCTAAATGGAGAAAGACCAAAAGTATAGATTGTTTGTTGAAACTATTTATATCCCATCATTCATCTAATTGACAATAATTTTTCATAATTATTGATGGAAAAAAAGTTATGTATGATCATCTTGACCATTATCAATAATAATAATAATAAAATGACAACCAAAAAACATAATCCATATGATGATATTAATAAATGAACAGTATCAATCTAATGGTTAAACTGTCAGGATTATATTGATTATTGTGTAAACAACAGGAATTGATATAATCCACATGTTCAATGTAACAATATTCATATGGTTAACACATCTAATTGTCATAGAAAATTAGGTCAAAAAAAATTTGAATATAGTAGATTTTATATGTAACCAAAACCATGGTAATTCAAATGTGACTGTTGAACAAATTTTTATTTTTTAATTTAATACAGTCTATATTCATAATCATAATCATAATCATAAATATGAAATTGATATTGATACTTACCAACTAAGAATAACAAACAAACAAAAATCTTGGTAATTAATTAATGTCTTTTGTTTTTGATATCAGAAATTATCAAATTTTTTTTCAAGTAATTATTTCTTTTTTTCAACGATAACAAACTGATGAGCTAATCCAAATTTCGAACATATGTTACTAATTAAAACTGTTCCGAATGAAATGGTTTTTTTTCAACACATTCAATTTGTTTTTCAAGCTTCTTTTCAATCACACACACACACACACAAAGACGAATATGAAAAAAAAATTCGACCACAAATGTTCGATGTATCATTATTAATTATATATAAAGCTAATTCGAAAAATTTTGAACTTTTCGAATAATCGAACAAAACAATCTATATGTTAGTGTATATGACAGGTGTAATATAACTGAACAGAAAACCAGGTGAAATTTCGAAATCAAAATATCGAACAAAGATCAGATTTTTTTTTCTCTCGTAAAGTAATGAACACCAAAAACACTAAACGGGATGAAAAATTGTTTATGTGAGAAAATTTGTTTGTGTTGTTTTGCCATACAATCTAACATTCAAGGAAAAAATTTGGATAAAAAACATTCACATGATGAAATTTAATCTAAATTATAATTTTCAAATAATAAAAGACAATTAATTTGATGCCGATTGATGAAAATTATCATGATTTATGATGATAAAAACTATACTCGTTTTTTTTGTATATTTTGTCATTCAATAAATTGATAATAACGATTATGAATGATATGATGTTTTTTCCTTTTGGTCTTAAATTATAGACGTTGTTGTTGTTCGAATCCTGAGTTTCTATTTCATGTTTTTGTTTGGAAATTTTATAATAGAGATCAAATATTCATTTTGTAGCTTTAAAGTAAATTGCCGATATTCCGTTATAATAATAAAAAAGAGAAATAAGTAAACTGGTTTGACGTTTTTAACCGATTCGATAAACACACACACACACACGTATACACAGTAACTAATTATAATGATGACAACAAATTGGCTGCCATAAAAATTCGAATTTCATGGACACATGTCAATCGATGAACTTCATTCACACACATACAAACATTGTTTCAATAATGATTATGAATAGATTTAGATCCAAAATCAATACTGACAATGGTTAAACATTTTATACACGCACATGTCACTTTGTTACCATGGATGTAACCGAAATGATTTCTTATCGGAAAAAAAATCCAAAAGATAAAAAACAAAATTCAAATCAATCAAACATAGACAAATTGAAAAGATCTATTGATAAAAGATGTTAAACATTCATGTAAATAAGTTATTTGATAACACAAACAAACATACACACATTTTTATTCTACAACAAATCAAGAAACTTACCCAAATATCGGTTTGGGTTTGGTCCAATTACAAATCTTAGCTTCTAATATTGATGATGATATTGCATCAAACAAAAAAATTACTATAACTTTTTCAAACGGTAATGTTGATCATCGAATAGGGTTACATTAAATTGGATAAAATTACTTTTTTAGACACAGACACGACATAGAATTGTTCAATTTCAATAAATTAAATGTTGTCGTTGGAATCGAATGCAAATGTCAAAAGAAAGATTTGACAATAAAACAAAATGTTGATGGATATTATTATGGGATGACAACAGATTCTGTGAAAAATTAAAATATTTTAACAAATAAAAAATTTTGGTTGCGTAGCGATGATATAACAAAATTGTCGATTAAAATGACTATTAGAGAATTTAGCGAGGAAAAAACATCGGTTAGCCCATCAACATCTCGCAAAAAAAGAAATTATGAATGCCAATCAAATAAAACAACCAAACCAGGGCGGGACACTGACTGACTTTGAGTATGGATTTTTTTCGGTTCATGTTGTTTATATGAGCTCGTCTTTTGTATGCGTCACCACTATGCCATTTGATGAATACACGGCTATCATCTCTGGAGAGAGAGAGAGAGAATAAACAACAAAAGAGGAGAGTGAGAGAGAAAAAAAGATCCTGAATCTTGGATTCCAATCGTTCATACATTACAAGTTTATTAGAATAAAAACAAAAACTTTCATTTTGAAAATCAATTTTTTTTTATTTTGAAATTTTATTCAGATGATTGGGATAAAAATCGATAAATGAACAAAACTGATTATTATGATAAATAAGCTTATATAAATGATGATAAACGACGATTTATTGATCCATCTGATATCATCAATAGATCTGGATTTTCAATATTATCACGAAGTTTTTCCATAAAATGTGCAGCCAATTCTTCATCGATAGCACGAGCATCATATGATAATGACATTGTTGTTTGACTACAAATATGATAATTATCAGGTTCACCAAAGAATCGTTGTCTTGTTGCACCTACAGCCAAAATTGCAGCCTGTGGTGGATTTATCACACCGACAAAATGATCAATATCATACATGCCTAAATTCGATATGGAAAACGTGCCGCCAATAAATTCATGAGGCTGTAGTTTTCCTTCTTTAGCTTTACCAATTAATTCTTTTGAATAGTTACTAATCTCTTCTAATGAAAGACGATTAGCATTCTTTATGATTGGTGTAATCAATCCAGTTGGAGTTGCTACGGCTATCGATACATCAATTTCAGGAACTATATGTATCTTGTCTGACTCAGAATTCCATTGACAATTCATAGCGGGTGTTTGTTTTAATGCCAAGGCTGCAGCTTTGACAATCATATCGTTAAGAGAAACAGATAATGATTTTTCTTTGTAATATTTCCGTAGTTTCAAAAGACCATCCATAGAACATTTAATTCTCATGTAAGCGTGCGGTATATTGGATTTTGATTCGGTTAATCGTTTGGCTATTGTTCTGCGCATATTTGATAATTCGATGTCAAAAAATTGTGTATCCGATTTGACCAAATTCGATGAAGCTTTTGATTTTGATGATGATGATGAATCTTCTTTTTTAATGACGGATAAATCTTTGGGTTTTAGACCATTTTGTTGAATAAATTTAAGCACATCTTCTTTCATCATGACGCCACGGTTTCCGGTAGGTTGAACGGTTGACATTTCAATTCCATATTGATCCATTAGATTGCGTGCACTTGGACTTATTTTTATCGTGCTAAAATCTACTGATGATTTTGCGATCGTTTCAGGCCCAGATGACTTTTCTGATAATGATTCTGTTTCAACAATAGCAGAAGACTTTTCCGAAGTAACATTCAAATTTTCAGGTATTTTTACATTTTTCCAATCATCTTCTTCTCCACAAACGATGGCGATCAAGTGACCAACTTCAATTTCAGCAGAATTTTCATTGACTAAAATTTTTGCCAATATACCATCATCATCAAATTCGAATGCAACAACCGCTTTATCTGTTTGTACTTCACAAAGAATATCGCCCGCATTGATTTTTTCGCCTTCTTTTTTGTGCCATTTGACGATAGTTCCGGCCGTCATTGTTGGTGATAAGGCAGGCATTTTAATCGGCGTTTCTATATCCCGGAACACAAAATAAATCAAAGTTCTATAAAAAAAATCAGAATAATATCAAACCAACCATCAAACAAATATTTTGTGGTAGAAATCTGTCGAAATAAATTATCTTTAGAATTCACAAGTGAAAATAATTGTGACAAATTTTTATTATAAAGACGAGATCGATTTGTGGCCAAAATCCTCATCAAAAAGGCCATTTTTATTTATTTTTTGAAAACAAAAATCAAGAATTCAAAAAGGTCATATACAAGTGGAATGATGTATACATATTTCATTGTATTAAAACGAAAAATTCAGATACTTTCAACATATAAAAAATGACTTGTTTTCAACAGAAAAAAATTCGAATCAATCGGCGCTTTGTCCCATTTCAAAATGTCGATCCTTATGTTTATGTTTGTGTTTTTTCTTTTTCTTTTTCTTCTTTTTATCTTTGTGATGTCGATCTTTGTTGTTTTTATCTTTTTCTTCGCCGATTTTTAACGATCGATCTTTATCTTCTTTACGTTTCTTAATAGCCGGTGGCGAAACTAATGATTTTATCGATTGATGAAGGTAATCTGAACCGCTCGGTTCGTTAGTCGTTTTTATACAAATATGATCGCCCGATGGATCAGTTTTCATTCGGATGCTAATCGTCGGAATCGTTGATGAAGTGGCTGTTGGTAATGAATGAGAATAGGATGATGGTGTACGGACTTCACCTTCTTCACGGCCACCGCCGCCACTTTCACCATCAGAATCAAGCAATGGATCCATATCATCCATACAGTGTTTTTTACGCTTATCACCGACTGAACCTTCTTGTTGAAGTTCACTGAAATTATCTCCCGCAACTTCTGGCAATATATCTACATTTTGAAGCGTTGATTCAGAATTTGCAATAATGTTTTCGGTATTTTTCTGATATGAATCAAGATTTTCTTCATTTTTTACCATCTCTGAAGGAACGGTAACTTTAGAATAATGTTGTTCGGTTGGTTTATCTGCTGCCTTAATCCTATCGAATAGTTCTTCAGCAGTCGTCGGCTTAGAAATCTGAGCAGTATTTGTATTGGGAGTAAACAACGGATTCTCATACATAGAATTGTCTAAATCCATTTGGTTATGGTCGGAATTTTCATCCGAAGCTTTTTTATCTTTCAGATTCAAAACGAATGAAAACTGTAAAAGCGATAAATTCAGAAAAAAATAGAAATTAGTTTAATTAAATCAAATCGAAAACTTACCTCAGGTTTAGGAAGGCATTTAGGTCGATTACGACCATAAAGAACAAAATATAGATCAACAATGGCACAACGTAATTTGAATTGACAAGAAAAATATGAATTCATTAGCGTCCATAAACGTTCGACTAATTCTTCCACATCAAGTTGATGTACTTCTTCAGTGTTGCTTGAAAACGGTGGATTATGGATTAATTTTTTCAGAGTAAAATATCGGATGGCTGGATGTGGATCTTTGATAGCAAGGTTGAGTAAAAAGTCAAGATCTTCTTTTCGTGATTCCGCACGTAGAATATCGATTAAAATTTCAATGGCTGCTTTTCGAACATCAACAAAACAAGCTGTTGAAGTATGGCAACGAAAAATTTGTGAATTCGGTGGTAAATGACCCATTTTTTGCAAATTACGAAATGCTTTTAGACACGAAACAGTTACAACATGCTTGTATGATGGAAGCAATTTATCTAGGTTGAAAAATCGAACAATTTCTTCGAGAATATTTTTTGTATCCTGAGACACAATATCCGATAGATTGTTAGAATTGAATATAGGTGTTATAGCAACCGGAGTTACTGTTTCGGCCAATGCATCGATCATGGCCGCTCGAAAATAAGCATCACTAAACTTATTTTTCGAATTATCATTATATTTAAATAGATCGAGTAAAAATCGTAAAATCTCATGCGGACAAATACCATGATCAGTTCTTAAACCGGCCATAGCAACGATTAATGATTTTTGTATGAAATACATCTTGAAATTGCTAAAGTTATTCATTCGAACAATGTGTTGGCAGGATGAAGAACCGAACATTTTTCGAAACAACTTGATCATTGTCTGCGGACCATTATATGGCGAACCAACTTTGTTGGCAACTTTTCGCAAGCAAAATGCAGCTTCACATCGAACACGATAAAATATCTGATCATTGCTAAGAATCTCTGACAAGGTATTTCTTATGGATGAATTGGTAGAATAATTATCTAGTATGGCCAATGATTCAAGTTGAGCAATAATGTCACGTTCGTAACGAAGTTGATATAGCCATTGATAATCGGGTTGCTCGAGTATAACTTCACGGAGTAAATTCATCTCTGGATCAATACGAAGCCATAAAACTGGCGAATCTTGGTCCATTGCTGATAAATCCATGTCAATTTCTTCTCCCGTACATAGAGGAATTTTTTTCTTCTTATTCCGACGACTTTTCGAGTGGCAAACAATATCATGTTTCGATACGTTATCTTCTATTTGTAGATTGTGTTTGAATGTTCCATCCAGTTCTTGTAACCATATCATCAATGGTCCAAGATATTGCCAAACACCCGTTTTATGGACATGAACCTGACGAATTTCAAGCTGTACCGTATTTCGTCGGCGGTGAAAAACAAACGATCCAGTTAATTTTACATGACCACCTTGAAATACCCATTGTTTAAGAAATGTATCAATATTTTTTCCAGTTACAGTCGAAATAGCCCAGATAAAACTACCGGTTGATGCATATAAATGATGCCATGTATTTGAATTATATTTTTGCGTAATAGCACTCTGTGCTAATGATAACATCTTATTGAATACTTGTAATAGGAGAGCACGACCAAGATAGTTTTCAAGCATACGCATGATAAGAAAACTTTTTACACGATGCATTTTATCATATAATGGTGACCACGTGTGGAAATTTTTTATATGAAAATAGTCTTTTTCGGTATAGCCTTTGTGTGAAGGATCCAATACAATCGGACGAAATTGTTGCTCATAGTTGATAACTTTATTCATAGCTTCCTTCACCTGATATCGATATTCATTATTACCAAAGGCCTTTTTGTAGTAATCATGAGCAAGAAAACCAGCGATCCCACGTACAAGCCATGAGTCCGGACATGATTGCATCGATATGAAGCATCCAAAATATTGTTCAGCAATAGCCTGTGCCAATACTTTACGGGTGGCATAAGCTTGCTCGATAATATGTTTCGAATGTAATAGGTTGATAGAAAATATTGATAAGGTAGCAAAAGCAACATATTGGGTATCGAGGTTATCAACAAATACTTGTTTATAGGTAGAATATGGATATCTTGTGTTAAGCATGTCTTCATAATATTCAAATATTCTATGCGTGTTACCGCAAGTGTCCAACAACAATGATTTTAAAGTCGGAAAACAAAAATGAACCACTTCGTGCATGTCTGGATGAACTATTGGCGTGAACTTTCCAACAACTAAACCAATGTTCGAGGCGCTAGTTGGTATTTGCAAGTGATAATAAAATCGTTTCTTTTTCTTCGAAGTATTGTGTTCGACTTCTACCAATTCTCCTGATGAGATAGCGGTATAATCTTCAGGACAAGTAATTAATATGGTCCAAGTACATGACTCGGAAAATGAGTCGACACAGGGAAACCAAAGTCGCGATAAATTGGAACGTTCATAGGTGAACATATGTGGCATATATTGATCTTCTTGTACATCGTTACGATCATCATTTGAATTATTTGTTTCCTGTACAGAAAAATATATTCCACCTTTGGGATTTTCGATAAAATACGAAATATTGACGGAAAATGTTTTTCGTTCGAGAATCAACGATTTTATGTCGGATAATTCGGGAACTTTGATGATCAATTCACCGTTGCCAAGGTCTGAATCGGTGCTTTTTATTACATCATAATGAATACTGGAAAAAGAGTCCAATTTACGTGCACCTTTTTTCTCGGATGAATGTACAATATCCGCTGTCGGTTCACTGTAAGTGAATTCGCACATATAATCATTGATGTAAATGCAATCGATAATACATTGTTGACAATTTAGACGAATGAATGGCAATTCATCACCTTGTGAAACGATTTGTAATTCAGTATAACCCTAAAACAAAGATATACTTAATTTATTAAGATTCAAAAAAAGAAAAAAAGAAAATTACATACAACAAGTCTTTTCGTTGGAAAATCAATGTCCAGAATGCTTAAATGTTGATGCAAACTTAATGTAAAGAAAAATATGAAATGTTATGGAAAATTAAGCGACAAATCATCTTACACTTTAAAAAGCCGATATGATTTGGCTATGAATTCACGTTTCACACTCGTGGTCATTTTGATCAAAAGAATTTCTTTAATTTAAGGATCATCATAGAAAATTTAATCAAAAAATTGAAAGACCGGGAGAAAATTGAGTCAAACAAATGATATATGGCTATGATAACAATAATGGGCATCGAAAGTCAAAATAGAAATCCAGTGCATGTGTCTGTTTTTTTCTTTACACACAATTGTTCCGTTTTCCGTTTGCTTTCTTTTCGCATGTGTTTTGGATATTTTTGTTTCTATTTTTCAACCAATTTCGTGTGTTTTTGGGATTTTAATTGTGTTTTCTGTCCATAATTCCCGAATTTAAAATCTAGAAAATGAATACCAAAGTCGAAGGTAAAGGTGAGCCTGAGATTCAACAGCAAATGAATCGAATTCGGGTTACACTCAACAGTCCAGATGTCAAAAAACTTGAAAAAGGTATGCTCTTTATAAATATGAAATGAACTAATATTAATAATGTAATTATTTCTTTCGACGATATAGTTTGTTCCGATTTGATTCGTGCGGCTAAAGAAAATGCTGTTCAAGTAAATGGACCAGTACGTATGCCAACAAAAACGTTGCGAATAACCACACGTAAAACGCCTTGCGGTGAAGGTTCAAAAACATGGGATAGATTTCAGATGCGTATTCATAAACGTATTATTGATCTGAAAAGTACATCAGAAATTGTCAAGAAAATTACCGCCATCGGTATTTCACCAGGTGTCGACATTGAATTCACTATCGCTAATTCTTAAACGTCACATTAACAAATATTTTTTTGTATAATTTACGCTAATAAAACATGATGACAAAGAAATAAATTCCTTTGAAAAATTCTTTTTTAGTTCATAAGTTGATCCAACTTTAGAAGTAAAATTACACATCCGGAGTCAAGATTGTAGAAAATTTCAAGCAATTTTTTCCTCTTGATCCGATTCGATTTGAAACATTTTATTTTCTATCGATGAATTCCAATCATATCATTTGTTTGTTTTTTTAGTTGACTGTTTGGTTGATTGATATTGATATTTCATACAAAGTATGAAACAATCATTATTACAGATACGGTTCGATTGATGATATTTAAACGATAGAAATTATTTATCTATCATAATCATGATAATGGAAAAATGTGAAGGACAATATGTTGATTGCTCATAAGTTTGCGAAAGGAATTACACGAGATTCAAAATGAAATTGCCTTTTATTTCAATTTTTATTTTCATCCATTTTAATTTCTTTTCTTTTATTGTTTTGTTTGAATATTTATTTAAATCTTCAAAAATGACCAATGATTTTCTATTTTCAATCTAATTTATGGAAAGAATCATAAAGAAATTCTAAAATGATGAAATTCTTGCACAATAGATGGCAATACAAACTTAAAGTTTAGTTCTCGTTTAAAAAAAAATGAAGCTAAAAAAATTGACCCTGAAGATCATCGCTATATTTTGTTTTCGGTTTTCATAATTTAAAAAAAATTGTGTTTAGTACAATTCAATGGAAAATTTTCTTAATTATTTAATCGAATCAATCGATACAAATCAAAAACATGAATAATTTATATGGTGTCATGCTGATTCCAGATAAAATGAAATGGCATCAAATAGCTCTATTCATAGACATTCTTAACATGCGAACAGATCTAAATAGAGCATGAAAATAATCGATCACACAATCTCATTTTTTTTTGACTACTGTCTATTATTATTCATCAATGGTTAAGCTTTGTTTTGTTGTTTTTGTCGTTTTGTTGATTCCATTGACAATCATCATAATCTTATCCTTAAATGAAGTGCAGAAGAGAAAAAAGATGCCATTATTCAAAAATATATAGCCATATATTGATATTATGCAATGATGAAACTAAATAGATTTGATTAATCCGGTTCGAATCAAAACAGTGATGATGATCTTCATTACTAGATCATTGTCATCGTATCATTTAATTTATTTGTAAAAAAAACAACTATGTTTCTTGTCTATTTTGATTCAAAATGTTGTTATTTATCATGATTATCAACAACATTTGAATGCATCATCAACGAATTATCATCAATATCATTTGGAAATAAAATTTTTTAAAAAAAGTCAAAACCAGAAAAAAACAGGAAATTTGCATGCATGGGAAATTTTTATCATTTTTTTCCATGTATATTTGTAACATTCAAATGAAAAAAAAAAATTTCAATCAATGGGAATTACGATTTGGCGCATTTTTTTCGGTCGCAAGATCGCGCTTCATCGCCCGTTTGCAATATCGAAACCCATCATCAAAAACTTCTCTGTTCATTGGATATCACATTATATCTTGTGTGTTTTTTTTTCGTAATAATAATAATATCTTTTTATGTTGAACATTTGTTGTTGTATTGAATTATATATGTTTCGACAAACCGTTGAAGACGCACATGCTCGAATCTATTCTTCAAAATCACATGCTCGGATTTCTGTTAGTAATATTTTCATCTTCTTCATATTATTATTATTTTGTTGTTGTTGTTGTTGATGATGAATGATGATCAGCATCACCATGATCATCAACATCTGCGATTTGTCCTTTTGATTGTCTCTGGTCTTTTTTTTTAATATCTACAACATATAATGAAATTAGAGAATCAAAACTGAATTCGTTGTGTATGTGTATAATTTTTTTCCACTATATTTCATCAACTAAATAATAATTGTTTATGATTTCTTTTTTGTTTTGTTTAAAAAACAAATTCGAAATTGTCATCAATAACAAGACTATAATTATCATTACATTATTATTGTTAATGTTTTATGATTTTAAACTATAATTGTCAATCAATATAGAAATTATTATGAAATAATTCTATTTTTAATAATAATAATAAAAAGAAGAAACCGGTAAATTCAACAACAGAATTCAAACGACAAAAAAAACATTCTAATCGATCAGACATATCAAGCAATATTAGAAAAAAATTGATTATAAATTATTTTGTGGTTATTGCAATTCATTATTATAAACTAGTCTAAGGATCATCATCGTTCATTTCAATACTTTTTATTTCACATTAAAAGGTAACAAATGTTTTGTATTTATTTTCTTTCGCTTAATAAATAAGGATTCGATTGTCTTGTCATTCTATCAATCTGTCATAAGTTCTGATGAGTTCGTTCACATACACAGACAGTTGTTACTTTATTAATTTGAATTTTTTTTTTGCTACATAAAATTACATTGAATAACATCCTTGTAGTTATTAATAATGATCATTATGATAATCCCAATTTTACAACAAAAAAAAATTTTTTTTTTCAATAACACAAATTAATTAAGATAACATAGTAAAATTACATTGACAGTGATGACATTGTGATATGATACAATGATTGAAATGAGAACCTCGTGATTATAGAAACCAGAAAAACAAAACAAAACAAATTTACCTTTTCAAATTGATCATTTTTTTCATTCATTATAATCCACAATAGTTTTTACTTAGCAGCGGTTTTATTTTTTTATAACATTCGTTGAAACTATTAACGATCATTATCTTAGAAGATGACCGAAAAATCAGCCTTGTGGTTGTAAAACATTGGTTTTATAATCGTTTTAGCTATAGCAAAAAAAAAATGAAAATATGTCAGAGTTGATAGACAGTTATTTTGTCATAATCCAATCACTATCTATAAATTTATTTTTTTGTCATTACCTGTTCATATTGAAAATTTGATCCATATTCAACATTTTCATAACAAAAACAATCCGAAAAACCGATATAAAAACAAAACAATTAGCTGCTATTACGACGGAAGTGGTAACAATTTATTTTGATTGCAATCAAATAAATTAACTGAAAAACATTTAAACAACTTGTTGTCATTGTATCGATTTCATTCGATCGAATCGAATATAGGGACAAAATATTCTTCAAACCAACACCGAGAAGCCATAACCAATTTTTTCCTATCTATCAGAACAAATGAAAACTTTTTTTATTGACAGCTGTTATTGTTATTAAGATAAAATCCATTTAATCTAGATTTATTTAGATCGTATTATTATTTTAAAAAATCCATCATATAGAACAAGTAGTTTTTTTCTTATTATTACTACTACTATAAATATAACATGTTTCATTTTAATTATATCTCAGATACAGATTGCATTTAATGCTTTAAAACTTATCATCATTATCATCATCATCATCATCCATCATTCTACATACATAATTCTATTTGGGTTTTGAAAACTTAATTTTTATCTATGTCATCATTCCTAGTATTTTTATTGTGCATAATTATTTGGGATAATAATTAACTGGAAAATTATTTGAAAAATTATTTATCAATCATCATCGCCATCAATAATCGACAATCAAACATCAATGGTTTATAAACGTGTATTTTGTAGAACTTCAAACTATTCTAGGATTCGCCTAGAAAGTGTTAATAGTAATTATGATCGTCTGAAATTTCCATCAAATAATCATTATTGTGCCTTATGCAATTGCTCAACCAGTGTCAAGTGCAATTCTTTTGATAATCAATCTTCAAAATCTGTTCCTTATCATTGTTTTCAATACCTGGTCATCATTATTTCTTTGATTATCGTTTCAATCTTTGATTCATCATCACTGATTGTGGATAGTTTACCCACGGGTATCGCTATCAATTCATCATCATTTTCATCACCGGATATTTCCGATGTTGCTATTGCATCTGCAAACCTTCGTGCTTGGCATGCACGTCTTAATACTGCAGCTACAACTAATGAAGAAACTACTAATAAACATCGTTACAATCGGAATACAATTTCAATCAATCCTATTGATAATGATACCATTCCATCGACAATCAGTGGATTTCGTTTAATTGGTGATCCTAAAGCTATTGTTTCTAATGATGAGTAAGTGTAAATCTTTATAAAAATCATTCGTAATTCGATTTTTTATGAATTTTATTTAATTTTTAAAAATAGACGTTATACAATCAAAGCTGATCACGATGTCGAAGCTCGAATATTTGGCAAAAATTTTGGTAAAGATTTTCTGATCGGGTTTTCTTTGATAGCACCGAATTCCAAATCTATGATATGTTCGGTTGATGAAAAATTCGAGGCTATTAAGATCGATGATCAAACAGCTTATTCGAAGATTAAACTTCCAGCTAGTTCAAAACCATATCATCTTTGTTATTCGGAAAATATATCAAGAGATGATTATTTCTACTACGCCGGTAGTGATCTTTCCTATCAGATCGAATCTGCAGCACCTTTATTACCCCTTTGGCTCCATATAAGTACCTTGTTATTGTTATTGGTCATGTCTGGTCTATTCTCTGGCCTCAATCTGGGACTAATGGCATTGGATAAGAATGAGTTGCAAGTAATCGAACGTTGTGGTACCGAAGATGAAAAATACTATGCCAAAACGATTTCACCTGTAAGAAAACGTGGAAATTATCTACTTTGCACTTTATTACTCGGTAATGTTCTTGTCAATTCAACATTGACCATTTTATTAGACGATCTTACATCGGGGATATTCGCTGTGATTGTTTCAACATTATCGATTGTAATATTTGGTGAAATAATTCCTCAAGCACTTTGTTCGCGTCATGGGTTAGCTGTTGGTGCCAAAACAGTTTATGTGACTTATTTATTCATGTTTATCACATTTCCATTATCATATCCAATATCAAAATTATTGGATAAAATTCTTGGTGAAGAAATCGGTAGCGTTTATGATCGCGAACGTTTAATGGAATACATTCGTGTTACAAAAGATTATAATAATCTTGAAGTAGATGAAATGAACATAATTTCTGGTGCATTAAAATTCAAGAAAATTTCCGTAGCCGACATTATGACTCCGATCAGTGATGTATTCATGTTACCATATGATACAATACTCAATTTTGATACGTTAACTTTGATCAATAATTCCGGTTATTCGCGCATTCCCATCTATGAAGGTAATCGTGATAATATTGTCGGTTTATTACACGTGAAAGACCTTTCATTAATTGATCCGGATCATAATTTGCAATTAAAAGTAGTGCTTGACTTTTATTCACATCCATTGTTAAAAGTGTTTGAAGATGATAAACTAGACAAAATGTTGAATGAATTCAAGCAAGGCCAATCTCATATGGCATTGATTCAACGTGTTATCGATAATGGCGTCAAGGACCCATACTACGAATCTATTGGTATCGTCACCCTTGAAGATGTTATCGAAGAATTGATTCAAGCAGAAATCAATGATGAAACCGATGTGATATGTAAGTTTTTCTTATCAATAATTTTCTAAATTTCTTAATGTTTGCTTTCTGAAATATAGCTGATAATCGACGAAAGCAGAAACGACAGAACGTTCAAAGTCGATCGAATTATCTGGAATTTATTCGTGAAGCTGGAATTAAGCAAAAAAATGATGATGATTGCTGTATAATGGAGTATTCAAACAATGTTGCTATTTCACCTCAGCTAGCATTAGCTGCCTTCCGTTTCTTAGCTTCTTGTGAGTTTTTTCTTATTGTGGCAATATAGATTTTTTAATGTTATAATTTTAGCTGTTGGTCCGTTTTCGTCAAAGAAAATCTCTGAAGAAGTTTTTAAACGTTTGATGAATAAGAATATTTATTTCGAAGCCAAAGGCGAACTACGTAAAGCTAATATTGATAATATGTTACCAGATAATGTTTTATATAAACGTGGACAACCAGCTGATTATTTTATCATGATATTGGAAGGACGTGCTCGTGTAATTGTAACCAAAGAAAATCAAGAATACGATGCCGGACCATTTTGTTGTTTTGGTATCGGTGCTTTAACTTCTTCTATACCAAGTACAGAGGACGGAACTGTTGTACCGAATCGTTTAATCAACGAAGAAAGTGGTAAGTTATCCTAGAAAAAAAGTATTTTTTTTAATTCGAATTTGATTGATTAATTTTCTTAAAAGCCGATAGTCTTAGTCAGAAAAGCAGCCAGCAAAACATTAGTCTCCAACAATCGGACATATTTATTCCCGATTATACGGTAATCTGTTTAGAAAAAGTAATCTACTTGAAAGTGACAAAAGATTTCTATAAAATGGCATTAAAAACAACCGATGTTGTGACAAAACGTTCGAGCGACCTACAAAAATCTCAATCACAAATCGAGCAAATTGAAGATTCATCGGAAAATACAACGGCAGCTGCAGTTCCATTGATACCCATAAGTAACACTAAAAATGATAGTCTTTCACGACACCTGAAAAATCTTCCACCAAAATATCGAAAGATTAGTATGGGTACAAATTTAGCCGATTCAAGTTTGATGCCCAAATTCAAAGATAAAACCAGTGTGAGCAATCAATTTGAACAGGATGATGAGCAATTGATGAATGACACGCACAACAATCCACGTCATCGATCACAATCAAAAAATAGTCTGATTGTGGATCAAATACGACCAGCTCGAATTGTTACTTCCGATAGCCTTAATAATCGCCGTTCATCACCAACTGTACGGCGATCTGATGCGATCGAATTGCTTGCTGATAATCATTCACCTCGTTCATACGGTTCAATCGAAAGTCTGACTGGCGATTCTCAGCACCAACAACAACTTCATCAGCAACAATCAATGGAAAATCCGCCAGCGCTCTCACCACCATCATCTCTTGCACCTGAATTGAAAGAAAAATTGAGCCTATTACGTAATGGAAGTTTATCGGCCCTAGATGAATCAGGTGATCACAATCAAACAACTATTTCTCAACAAACAAAGTCTATTGATGAACGCACAACATTTTTATGATAACACATTTATAAATGAATAACCGAATCGCTCAATTAATCTTTTCCGGTTTATGTTTCTTCCTAAATTTCGATCAAATATTGATTCTTTACCGTTTTCATTCATTTATCATTTTTTTCACTTTTAATTATGGTTTCATAAAAGGGTTTTTCTCATTAATTTGCTTGAAAACAAAAATTTTTTTCGAACCGGTCATTTTATCGCTAACACTTTTGTTATTGTTTTCGTTGTAAATAATTTATGATAATAATAATTTTTGTTGAATCAATTATATTTCATTATTCACAACATTATAATGATAATTTATTAAATATGATTATAATCGATCATGATGACAAAGATGATTAAAATACATTTTTTTTGCCCATCTGAATTCTTCGTACTTTTTTCTATGATTAATCGAAATCTAACTCAATCATCGATGTTTTTTACGATCAATATGTGGTTCGAGAAAATGTTGGCGACCATCATTCGGTAGCCGAAGATATAGATGACAAAATTCATAAACAACTCTAGCAAAACGCATTTTGAAAACTTTTCCAGCTAGACAATATTCTCGTACTAGGTTTGATGGACATGTATCAATAATATGATTACAATCATACGGTTTAGATCCATACATGCGACACTGTTCGAATGATTGATCACATTTTTCACGTCGTTGCATCTCCATTTCATATGGTGTATATGGCCGTTCACAGAAACATTGTTGATCACGTTCTTTTGTCTGGCGAAAACCCGTCGGACATTTAAAACGACTGCGTTCATATTGATCTTTTGATTTTGGTGGGAAAAAAACAACGAAAAAATTATCATCAGTAGCAACATTTTTTCCATGTTGATTACGAGACGGTGACGATCCTTGCAGACTGTTATCCTCATAATCACATGGTCGAATACAGAGAAATGTTTCACGATTATCTTGGCTATCTATCGGACATTCATTTGATTTCCATGCATTCGCTATTGTCCATTATGATAATCAAAATGATTGTGATGATGAAAGGAAAAATGAAAAATAATTTAGTTTAAAATAAGAATAAAACTATAAAAAATAAATGGTGTTTTGTTTGTCAAACATGGAAGGATTCTTGAAAACAGAAAAAAACAGATTTTCAATTGACAGAATCGAAACAAAAACAAAAAATAAGGTATTTTCAGACAGTATATTATACAGGAATGATATAATAGTAAATTTTAAAAAAACTTGCCAATTGTAAACGATAGGATAGGTAATACGAATAATGAAATAAACAACGATATTATTCGATTATTATGATTGTTATTGGCCATTTTCAGCATTTTAGAAACAAGACTATTACACAATATGAAATGTTTACTTGCGGGAAAACCGCACTGATATTTTTATTCGATATAAAGAGACAGATTTTGAAGGAAATAGATGCATTTTTATAGCAAAATAAATATCAGAGCGTTAGAGGTGTATCATTATTTTACCAACATTAAAAAAATAATGAAAATGAAAACGGCTACAAACACATTTTGGAATTGTCATGACTTTCTCTCTCTTTGTGTATAGATCGGTATGAACTAAATTAAAGTATCATTTTTGACATTTTTGATAAATGTTTGATCATCAAATACGGACAACCTGTCAAGAAAAAAAAGTCCACTAACCCAATTCATTAATAATGTTGATGTTGGAAATTTATTTCCGCTTTCATACACATCAGTAATTACCCTCGATCATATAATCAAAATAGATAAAACGAAAACACACTCGCGCACATAATCAGAAAAAATCATCAACGTAATTCCCCAACCAAAAAAAAAGTTCGGACAAATGTTTCCTTTTTTTCCAATATGCATGAGATCAAAGTTGATTAAACTGTTAGAGTGGAGAAAAACAGAAACACTTGTACAAACAACAAGAAAAAATAAATAAAATTTTTACCATATGAATTCGATTCGACGATGAGAAATTGGATCGACGATAATAATAACAGCCACGACGACGGCATTTTCATTATATGGTTATTGAACAATGATATGATATGAGATCATATCATGATCATCATCATCATTGGAGCCGATTCGTTTAGTCGTCCATTTCATCAATTGATTCGCTTGGTTGTTTCTTTTTTAAAAAAATCGCCATTATTTATAAGGTTCTAGTTTGGGTCAATTTTATCATGAAAAAACAACCTTGATGGCAATCTAGGTTTAAGTAAAGTCTGAAACCAAAATTTCATAATGCTTTTTCATTAGAAAAATTAGCCATCTTCTCTACTACCTATGATTTAATCAAATGTACGAATCGAGAGAGAAAGAGAGAGAGATTTATTGTATCGATACATCTTAATAATCTGGACTTTTTTATTTAACGTCAACTCACAAGATAATTCTTGTCTGTCAATCTTTTTAATTCTTTCAATGAGTTATTAAATTTTTTTATTCTTGTTTTTATGCTTAAGAATTTCAAAATAACAGTGCTTCGTAATTTACCACTTCGATGGGAGATTCACTTTTTGTATTCTTATTTTATAAAATCTTAACAATCATTTAGTCTTATAAAGTGAAAAAAAACAATAGAAAATATGAAGGGATTAGAAGGTCAGTTGATGGCTTATGGGTTTGATCGAAAGAGTAAAAAAAGATAAATGTTCATACGGCATTTCGCCACCTGTTGGGTTGGTCAAATTTTTTTTCTTTGAAAATGTTTACATTTCTAAGTGTCTTGTAAAGTGGCCATAACCATATAATTGGTCAAAATTGACTACTGTCGTCGCTCATTCGTATTAATGTTGGTCTAAGATAATGGCGACAAGACAAAACTATTCAAACAAAATAACTACAGCCATTTGTCATCACAGGCTCTAAAATTGTTGTCAATTGTACTAACACAAGCTCATCAAGTTCTTTCAGCCAACAAAAGTCAGTGTTGTCGAAATGTATAAATTTTCGGGTTCGTATGAATCATTTCGTCATTCTACTTCGATGTCGTCATCGTGTATTTATATGAAAAAAAATCTCTATTTTTACAAAAATCACAAATAAACTTGGATAGAGATGAAATTCTTTATTATTAAATTTTACGATCATCATCGATCAAATCAACGGTTATTGTATCATTATATGATATTCGCATTCTATTTTGTATTGCTTAGTCATACGAGCTTCACTAACATTTCCTCATCCAATGCATTCATCATTTCATCACAAACTTCATCCAAATCCACTATCGTACGACGAAATATTCCAGTCGATACGAAAACGATGACCGCAGAGAAATGTTATTTTCATGCTAATGGTAAAACAGATGGGAAATCATTTTTTTATGGACAATGTATGAGCATGAATGGACCGGATGGTTGTTGTCTTGAAGGCCATTATAAACCTGGTATCTGTTCAAATTTGGGACATATTTGCTGTATAAATCCTGATCCAGAATGTAATGCTATGTTCACGAATAAAGGTAACTTATTTTAAATTAATTTTCGATTACATTATTTTATTTTAATCAAATGAATTCTTTTAAATTTAGGAATAACCAAATCAGCCTTGAGACAATATGGTCATGTATTTCGCAAGATTAATCAAGATCAAACTATTAATAATAACGGTCAAATTTTTAACAAGAACAATCACAATGGTCAACAACGGGCAATTCGTTCAAATCCAAAACAATTCAAGTATATTTACAATACGAATTTTGAAATTGTCGAAATGCCGGCACACATGCAATTGGATGCCGTTACTTTTGTAGTGGATGCATTAGATCGTTATAACGGCGATTTCGATGATGCAGCAGATTATTTATGTCGAATGTTGGATCAAAAATATGAAGAATCAAGTCCATGGTCATGTACGATTGGTCGTGATTTCGGATATTCAGTCGATCCATTACCTGGAAAATATATGTTATTCTACATCGGTAATGATGTTCGAGTTATGGCATTTGTTTCAAAAAACGAAAATTAATCCGTCGGCATTTCAACAGTCGATAGACCATCATTTTCGATGTTGTTGACACCTTTTTTTTGAAAATTTATGGACAATCACAAACGTTGCTAATTGTTATTGTCAATTGGCGCCATTTGTCTGAACATGGTCATTTAGTCTAATGATGGCCATCACCAATCAATTAAAAGGGCCATTGTGACAGACACATGCGGTGTTTTCTAGTCGAAACAAAACGAAAAAATATGCCCCTTTTTTAAATTTTGTTTCCCATAAGTCATTGCAGACATTTTAGCCTGTCTGCCTTAGCGATTCTCTTTAATTGTATCGTCGTGTCGTTTTTTAAGAAAATATTTATTGTCTACACCAAATATAGCACCACTAAGGAAATCGATTTGGGTATTGTGCAAGCCAAATAGTTAAACATGCACATTGAAGTTTAAAATCGACCGATTAAAATGTAAAAAATTGTTTTTCCTTTTTTTTGTAAAAAAGAACCTTAATTTATTAAAAATTGTATTTTATTAAATTCTGATTAAATCATTTTTTCTCCGAATTGATTATGATAGAATTTTTTTTCTGGTGGGTTTCATTTTGTGCATACTTCTTTGGGAAATGAACAATGATCTGTAATGTGTGTAGAAAAATTTGCTTTAAAAAAATTTGACAAAGATGTTTTTAATAAAACTCACCATAACCAGCAACACATGGACAAGCATCAACATAAGTATCGGCTTTAACCTGTGCATTAGTACATTTTTCGCCTATATTTGCTTTCGGTTGACAAGAACGAAGTTTTGTTTCACGATCCAATTGACAGCAACCAGAACGACAATCACGTGAATAGGTACAGATTTCACCCAATTCACGATGTGTCTAAAACAATTGAAAATTTTTTCATCAAGACGATCATGATCAAATGATTGTCATCAAGTGAGTGAAAAACTTACACGACGAAGACCTTCATCGATTGGATGTTGCATCATATCATCATCACCCCAATCTTCTAATTCCATCCATCGTTCTTTTACCTCTTCAAGATCTTTTTCCAATACTTTAAATTCTGGTTTATTTTGCTGTGCACCGGAATCCGAAATTTCAGCATTGATCATAACGAACGAGGTGACAAATAGAGCCACTGAAAATTTGCACAAAAAATCAGCCATCATTTCAGATGTATGTAATGTAATGTAATGAAATAGTATGATGCGATAGAAATTATGAATATGGCACGATAGAAAAATGAAATTTGCAGAAATGCTAATGATAATGATCAATAGATTTGATGATCAATTTTTGGGGAATTTTCATTTATGAAAAATGATAATATTATCAATAGAATAGGAGGTATATTTGAAGGCCAACTAGCTGAAGCACTCTAAACAAAGACCACCTTTTTTCATGAAATAGCAATCGGAAATTGACGTTTTTTTTGTGAATGAAATTAATTTCAATTGAATTATTATTCAAAGATACGACGCCATATAGAAAAACAACAAAAAATGATGCTCACAAATATATCTCTTGTTTTGAAAAAAAATTTCCTTTTTCTCTTTTCATAACGTTACCATGAATATCATTATTATGATTTCAGGTATCAAAGCAGTGGTCGATGCTGAAGAAGACACTAGTCAAGTCTAATCAAATCTTCGTCAAAAACGATGATAACTACAAGCAACAGGTTACGCTTAGGCTTACAAATGATCATACAATTGGAAAACATTTGAATGATGATAGAGAAAATTCCTTGAAATGGATTGTCTTTTAAAATTCATTCGTTACATGCTCATCTTTATTACTATTGTCATTGATTCTTTGAAACAAAACAGCAAAAGTGATGACCACTATCATTTAAAATTGAAATTAAATTTTTATTGTTATATTAGATGGGAAAGAATCACCAAATAAATTAATGAAAATGAAGTTATGATTAGATTTTTTTTATCACAAATTTTTTTTAGTCATCATCAAAGTGTTCATCATGAGGTAATAATGACGATGTCTGTTGAGATGATGAGCTAGAAACAGTCGTAGATGAAGAAGACTTATCAATTATTCCTTCATACCATGGATCGAATAATTTTTGCGTCAATGGGCGACAAAATTGTCGCAATCCATTTTTTGTCGGATCGCTTTGCAAATGAAACCAATTTTGTTTGATAGATTCGAAATCAATTTGATCACTATCACGATAACAAAGTTTACCATCGAGTGCTACAGTCGAGTTTTCAGTGGAGAGAATTTCATTGAAGCTTTCTGTAGTTGAAGCGAATAGTTCTAGTTCATCTGGTTTAGCTTCCGAACGAAGACATTGACAAAAATTTCCCCTATCCACTGTACATGGCAATTTAGACATACATTCCTGGCAATTTTCTTCCAGGTTGGAATTATTTAGGATTTTAGGGATTTTTAATTCTTTGTCATTCAAATATTCTAAGACTTCGTTCATGTATTCTTTTGTAATCGAGTCTAATTCCGTATTCAGGTAGGTTTTGTTATCAATAGTGTTTTCATACATGAAATCTTCGGTCAAGTCTGAATCAATATCATCGGAAGATTTTGGCCAAAAATCTTGAAAAAATATGTCTCCATTATTCATTAGAAATGCGATTGATAAGCGACCGGAGTTTTCTGTGGATGACTCTGGTAAAATTTCCATACCACGAATAAAACTTTGATATTCAGATATGAATGGATACAGTTTATTAATTGAATTTGGATTATCCAAATAAAACGGAACATGTAACATTTTCGGTTGAATATTATCGGAATTGAATGTTAAAAGGCATGTTTTGATATGATTCGAAGCCATCAACATTAATGTATCATTTGATTGATTTGATGGCAATTTAGTTGCCAACAATCGATTGACTAATTTATCCGAAATCATGTGCTTGATTTGAAATAGATTCTTTTTTGGATATCTAAGGTCGAAAAAATTGATGTTGAAATCTGATGTCGTGATAAATTGATGAGGGTCGACAGGGTTAACACGAAACGTATGAAACAACTCAAATGGTTTGAAAAATGGGAAATCTTTTGAGTTAATTATTGGTTTCGATTGTTTTTTTTCACCCGATATTTTGATTCGAGTATCGCCCAACCATATATTCTGATGTGTGCCATATAAATAGAGAAACGGGTTGAAATTTTTCATATATTCCAGATGAATGAAATGATTCCGTGGTTGATTAATTTCAACATTTATCATATTCTCTTCGAACATTGTTTGCTTTTCAATATCACTACGATAGATTATTGGATTATCGATGAAAGTGGTTAAAATTTCTTGATGAAAGTCTGAGCTTCGATCTAAGACGTTTAAAAGCGAATCAGATGACGGGAAAAAACGAGATGATTTGAATCGATTTGTAATAAGGCTTAATCTTTCTTCGATTTCATAAGCGGATCTGTAATTGAATAAAGCAAGTGATTGTCGAGAATGAGTTAAAAGCTCGATCTGGTCGCCATTCTCATAAAGCCGCAAATTTAAGATATTATCGTTCGTTACTTGTTCAGCCCAAATATTATCAATATCATAGACGAAGGGACTGACGGAAGAGGATCGTTCGACCGTAAATCGATGACCGTCATTGCTTTCATTGACAGTTTTTTTAAGTGTGAGTACATTAATTTTACCGTGTTTGGATGAGAACAAGGTATTTAATTTGGAACAAAACGCTAAACAATTATAAGCAGAAAGTTTTGAATAGCTATGATTATCCGAATCAATAAAAAATGGCAATGTCGGGCGGTCAATTCGATATGGAAGTTGTTTGTATTGTTTTAAATACATATCATCGTAAGTACCGATTCCACCAAATTCAATGCAGAGATTCGGATCGATTTGATTTTCAGTAAGATTAAGATTTTGACTGCTTAATGAATGCCAAACTGGTACAAGATATGGAAATCGACTGCACCAATCCATAATTAACTTTTTTGATTATCCGATTTACATAAATGATTTGGATGCATGTGTTGGATGCAATGCCATCTCATTTACGAACGGTATACTATCATATTCTCACATGTTTTCATTTTCATTATTGAATTAATAAATTGAAAAAATTCGACAATCTTTTATTCGGTCTCAAGTAATACGCTCCAACTAATTATGGAAAACAAAGATAACAAACCCATAAATCCATTGAAAGTACAGCCGATGATTTATATTTGTGCTGAATGTCATGCGGATAATGAAATTCGTCTCAAAGATCCGATTCGTTGTCGTGAATGTGGCTATCGAATCATGTACAAAAAGCGTACTAAAAGATGTAAGTGGATTTTGTTTTGAATTTTAAAATTTAATTGATTTAATTTAATTTTAATTTCAGTGATTGTATTCGATGCACGATGAAGTCATATGTCGCGTTCTATACCAACAATCAACTTTCAATTGATCATCATTTCAATCATCTATTCATATTTACAATGAAAACATTTGTTTTATTTCACACCCATTCAGTTTAATTAAAATAAATTACATTAAAAATTCTAGTATCGATATTTAGTAGAATAATCTTTTGGTGAAATCACCAGACCACGGCCTTTTCGTGCACCGCGATATATTGTTTCGACAATGTCGATCATTTCTTGCTTATCCTCTAGCGCCCAATTAATTTTATTATTATTACCAGTACCCAAATCGATCATGATGTGTTTGTTTCGAAAAAAGAACATGACTGTACATGGATCATATAATTCGTACATTTTATTAAAATCCGGCACTTCAGTTATGTCCACCAAATAGACGACGGCAAAATTTTTCACCTTTTCAGCTATACCATAAAGGATTTCGTCCATTTTCATACAGGTCGGATCCCAATCATGTCCAAAGCGAATGATGACAACTCGATCTTCCTCGGATAAAATTGCTTGGTCAACTTGCCATCCATTGTGTAAATGTTGTAACATATAAGACATTTTGAATAATGAATAATGTTCGTTTATCTAACACTGAAATGATTGAATCGAAATACAAAGATTAAATTAAACTTTGAATCGAGAAAAAAATTACTTTTGATCCTGAATCAATTAATTCGTAATTAATGATATTCGAGTAAAAATGATCTTAAGTTATTAAAATTAATCAACGAATAAAATAAACATTGACTCAAGTCCATCTATCAACAATACTATCGATACAATCGATATTGTGAAACAGCAGATTTTTGAATTATTAAATCTTTTAATGTGTCGGATATACGATAATGTTTCGGCAAAGAACTTGTTATTATTTTCATGCCTATTTTTCTCGAAGATGTTCAACATTAGATCGATTAAAAAATCATTCAATCCTTGATCGACTAACTGAATCAAGCGAGGATGTTGCTTCTTTCATCCGTTTCAATCGAATTATTCAACCGATTAACATTGAACAGTTTCGTCAACATATTGCTGATTCAAAAGAAATGGAATTAAAAATTCAACTGATATGTTCTGAATATGAATACCTTTGCCATTTAAACTCTCGTACACCTTCGAATATTTCCATTGAACATATGAAAATCATGCTCAATATGAAATCTTCTGAACAACGTCAAATTTTCTTGATCAAATCTTATTTTCATGAAACACTAAAAATGCGTTCAAAAGCTAAAAAAATAATCAAGAAAAAACTAAAAGAACAGAATTCTACGTCCGAATCATCAATTTACCCATCAGGAATTTTCGATCCTTCACAAAATGACTTACAAATTCGTTATGGCTTATGGAAAAATTGTCTTTTTGGTCGTTTTTCTAAAAGTAACAGGTTGATAATACAATCTGGAATCAATTCTAGACTATGGAATCCAACCCTTGCCTTTGATTGGCATCTACCTGAAAAAATTCTAATCGAAGACAATGACGAGAAAAAATTTGTCACAGTTAGAGAACAAAACATCAAAAAGCTAGCTGATTCAATATTCAAAATTTGTAATAAAAATCTCAAATCCTTCCGATCATCCTTTAATATGGTACACTTGAATTTGACCGAAGATCTGCCGATACAAATTCTTCCTCATCTTCAGAAATCTTTCGAACATTCATTTTTAGATCGAACATTTTTCAATTATACACATGATTCATATCGAACATTTTTTGCTGATAAAATAGTTTTCTATGTTGATCCTAATGCATCAACAATTTTGACGAATGAAGATTTGAATATACAACAAGATTTGATTTTCGTATTCAATCCTTATTCGGAACTAATTGGATTCAAATTAAAATTTATTGAAAATATGTTTAAATACAAGCAAAATGAAATTAATGGTAATGACAGGATACGATTTCGGCGATTACCCTTGCACGATCTGGTCGTAGAATCAAAACAGCGACACTTGATTCTATCATTTTATATTGAATGTTTACGCCAAGTTCTTTTCAATCAGATAGATTGGATGGAATCTTTGTACAAAAATGTTCCAAAAAAATATTACAAATCGAAGAATTTCTCTTCAAAAGCTGAGACTAATTCTGATAAAATACATCCAGGCTAAGCTTGCCTTCATTTTCTACCAGATATATGACATCGGCTAATGTTTGTTCGATTTGGGTATCGAAAACGACGTCACTCATTGGTCGATAGAATTGCCCGAATTCCGCATCACCATCCGGTGGACATTGAAAGTGAGGACCGAAATTGAAATTAACTGAAATATTTTTGAACAAACTAGCTGCTGGATAATAAAGGCCACTGTATATATTGTCGAATGCAACACCTATTTTTTGTCCATTTCTAAAGTAGACAATTTTGGCTCCTTTAAATGGTTTCAATTTAGCTACAGCTTCACGTATAGGTTCATCTTTTTCCTGAAAATATAAAAATGATTTAAATTTGAATAAAGGTTTATCTTTATATGTTTTAGGCAGCATGCTGATTGCGCTGGTCACATCTTTTGGTCGAGGTAGATGAATTAAACAGCCAATGACATCTCCTATATCGTATCCGCCGTCCATATAGTGTTTTCCAATACTTTCATGAAATTTTGTACCCTTCAGTGATCTACAAGAATAGCCAAACTTATCATAGCCGATAGGTGTAAACAACTGTGCCAATTCTTGTGCCCATCCTATCCGACAGGCACTATCTTCGGGCTTATCGATAATTCGTGTCTCATAATACCAAGTTCCATGTGATACACCATATGTTGCTCGTATGGAACTATAACCTTTTTCACCCGTCACAGTTTTACGATCTTCTGATATTTTTAAGTAATGAGCTCGATCATTCATTGATAGTAAAATATTTTCTGGCATCAACTTTCTACACAAAAAACCTGGTATTTGCTTACCAGCAAATTCGTGTCTTTCATCAAATTCTTTACGTGATGGTGCATTATCGTCAGGTTCAGCTAATATGTAACGAAATCCTTCTTTGTTGAAAAGAAATTCGGAGGGGAATCCACTTGCTGGTAACTTCGGTATGGAAAGTTCAGATTTTTGTCGTTTATTTGTAAGTATCATTTCATTTCCAACTTCCAACTGACCGGTTCTTTTTTTCATACCGCGCAATGAACGGGAACTTATATTGGCGTTGGCATTTTGTCCACCATTAAGTTCCTTAAGGTTTTTCAGATTTTCATAGTTAGGAGCAATACGGCTAAGATCACGATCTCGAAGTGTGACATGCAAATTGTTCTGATCATCATTACATACAAATGTGTCGTTATCTTTTTGCATTGTTTTTGCCACTGATGAATGCCAAGTATTCTTTTGTGGCTTTGGTTTATTAGCCAGAATATTCCAATTAACATCGATGAAAGGAATAATTTCTTTGTCTTTGGAAAATGCTATCTTCTCTTCAGATGAATGGGCATGTATTAAATTGGCTATTGCTGTTTGACAAATCTGAGAAAAATCTAAAATAACGATGATCAATCGATTAAAATGAATACTCATAATCTTTACTGCCTACTTGTTGGAGTTCGTTTAAAAGATTCCATATTATTTGGCGAGCATTTTTGACAGAAAAATACGTAAGTAGTCAAAAACGGGATTAAACGATGAGTAAATCCAAGATTGACACAACATTCATGAAACCATTTCATACATTTGGCGCAAAGGAATTCTACTTTGCCTAGATCACGATCTCGACCACAATAGCAATTTTTTGGTGGCAAATAAAACATTTTATTGTTGTTATTGTTGATTGAATTCTCATCCATACCACATCTAAGCGATTATAATCAATAAAACATTGAAATCTTGTATTAAAATCTTTTTCAAACAAAAACTTACTTGTCATTTGATTCACTAGAAACTAGATTACTATCCTCATTTTGAAAACCAACATAATCAGATTTCATTGGATTTGATGCATCATTACTGCTTTGATCATTTATTGCATCCATTGTGGTCAACATGATCCAATAATGAATAATTTTCAAAAATTACTCTTTTCAAAGATTTATGGAACAATGATCATCATGAGATTTCGCACAGCTGCTGTCATTTCGTGCGCCTTACATAATGTACATGCACGAATTTATCATTAAAATTTGAATTTACGCGCGATATATCCTGTTTCAGCAATATGAACTATTTTCAGTATAATTTTTCCAAGTCAATGATAACAGACAAAAATCAAATGTAATTCTTAAGATTTTCTTTTTTTATAGTACCGATGTTTTGTTTAATCATCAATGGAATGTAGATAATTCGTGATTTGTATGACAGCCAGTAATCATTGAAAGCATTGAGGACAAATGAAAAACTTGTCCAATATTTGACGCACCGCCCATCAGACACGTTTTTTTCAAAAATATGAACGATTTAGAATGCTGGAGCCGAATGTGATTTTAAAAAAAAAATCATAGAATTGTTGATCAACATTATTTTCTGATATATTTCAACTTGGATAAACGACCATCGGCTACTATGACGTCGACTCATCTTCCATATTTACTTATCTAACATTCCTATTTATCAATCAAAATGATATACATTTACTTTTAATAAAAAAGTTTTTCTCTCTCATATAAACAAAATAATCTTAAATCATTGAACATTGGCAATTTTTTTTTTATCAATGTTGTCGATCATTTAAAAATAACTAGTAAGTCGATTATCAATACGTAAGCAAATTAGTGTTCAAAAAAACGAATTTTTTTTTGTTTAATCTTGATATTCACCTACCAATTCACTTCATTATTTGACATTTATTTGAATCAATCATTTATCCTATCAATCGCTCGATATTGATATGCAATTGCCATTTTTTAATTAAATCATCGATCATAACATTTTTGTTAATAAGGGTAAAAATCAAAATCCGTTACTTGCAACCAACCGACGCAATTTTATCGAATTTATTAAAAAAAAATCAATCGTACCAACATCTATCATTTTAGAGATTAGCTTAACATGCACAAATACGTACATAGACTAAAGTTATAAGATTGATTAGAAAATTAGCATTAAACTTATTAGATCAAGTAATTATCATTTCATTTCCATTCTGATGGTTCAGAAACAATCATTATTTCTTTGAAACAGACCTCATCATAAATTTAAATAATCGAAAAAATTATTTGTAGCGTTATTCTTCATTTTCATCATGAAAATTTTTGCTGGTATTGAAGGGTATATGTGATATGATTTATAAATTCTAAAATCTAAACAACTAATCATTCTAATCATAGTGGTGCTTCATTTTCAAAAGTGGCATTGTTGGATGAAAATGGTTGCATTCTATCACGATTAGATTCTGAACCAGGAACCAATATTATGGTAAGTAATATAATGACATTAGTTAATTTCAATCAAATTATTATTATTTTTTTTTGAATCAATAGCTTATGACCAAACAAGAATGGGTAGATCGCGTCTATCAAATGGTACAGAAAGCAACGTACCAATTGCCTAAACAACCGGATGGACAAAACTATCAACTGGAAAGTATTGGACTATGTTTAAGTGGTTGTGAAAATGAAGAAGTAAATCAAGAACTATGTGAATTGCTTAAATCCAAACATCCTGAATTATGTCAACGGTATTTGATTGCATCAGATACGGTTGGTAGTATGATGACTTGTAGTCCGAACGGTGGAATAGTTCTTATTGCTGGTATGTGTTTTTATAATATCCTTTGATTTTTTTTTCATAATTTTTTGATTATAAATTAGGAACTGGATCAAATTGTTTACTCATTTATGGGGATGGCAGCCAATATCGTTGTGGTGGTTGGGGTCATATTATTGGAGATCATGGTTCTGCCTATTCAATAGCGATTCGTGCGATACGTTATCTTATTGAACACGAAGAAAATTACGCACCAATTGAATGTAATGTTAGTAATGTTCGTGAAGTTGTTTTTGATCATTTTAAAGTGAGTAAAAATAAATAAAATGATGTTAATATTTCAAAATAACATAAAAACAAAAATTTTCATTATCATCCATCAAACAAAGATTGACAATTATCTTGATTTGATAAAACCACTTTATCAGGAATTTGATAAATCCTATATTGCTCAGCTCTGTGCTCGTATTGCTAAACGTATGTATTATAAAAAAAATTATCTATCAAAAATCACAAGAAAATAACTGAAAATTATTATAACATTTATTTGTACTGACATTGATTTCTTGATCAAATCAAAAAAATCAGTTGCAACAGAAAAAAATGATCCATTGGCAATAGAATTATTCAATGAAGCTGGCAAGGCATTGGGTCAACATGTAAAAGCATTGATACCAAAAATTGTATGTTATACTTTTGATCGATAAAACACATCGCTGATAATTTTGCGTTTTTTTAGGAAGGAGATGAAATATCAGTGATTTGTGTTGGATCAGTATTTAAAAGCTGGCCACTGTTGGAGAAAAAATTTTTAAATGAAATTGGTCGTATTCGATTGAAGCTAAATCTTGTTTATTGTAATGCAACAAGTGCTATTGGCGCTGCTTATTATGCAGCCAAAGTAAAGGCTAAAACTAAACTACCCATCGATCATGAAAAAAATTATCAAATATTATGCGCTTATCGTGATGGCCAAAAAGTTTATTGAACAAAATATCATTCGCTTTTTTTCAATATATTTCAAAATTTTTTGCCAATTTTTTTAAAGAAATAACGAAATATTTACATCCATATACACTTAGAAAAATTATCCATTGTTCACAATTCATCATTACAGATTTTAACAAAAAACAAATTAAAATTAAGATTCATTAAAATGACAGAAACATTCAGACAAAGTTCAAACAAATGACTAGGTTATTAGACATTAATCACAACAACAAGAAAAAAACATTTCATTATAGCTGAAAGGTGATGAAATGTCAATCAATTCTCACTCGTAGTCATTTATTTTATCAATAAAACGTTGCAAACCAACAGCAGGTTTAATTGGTCTTCGTGGCCAAACGCGAAGTTTTTGAATTTTCATTGTTTTATTATGAAACTTTTCCATTCGTAATAATTGTGGATAAAGTTTTTCTTCAATCCATTCTTTTTTTTACAATAAAAGATAAAAGAAATTTTCGATAAAAATTGTTAAATTGAAAATTGAATACCAGCAAATTTTGATAACCTACCATATACAGTTGATTCATCATAAATTTCGCCTAAAGCTCTGATTGCCACTTTGACTAAAGATTTTAGTTCCTCCATGACACTGTCATAATCTTGTAGACCTAAATATTCATAGAAAATTAAGGTAAAAATAGAAAATTAAGTTGGATTTTTTTCAAAATAAAATGTCAAGTACCTTCTCTGATTCGCCACGGATTTGTTATATTGTGTCTACATAAGCAACAAAAAAAAACAAAGATGATAAAATCTGAGTAATAAAAAAATAGCCAACTGACCTGAAATTATAATCCGTAAGCCATGCTTTATGCTTAGTTACATCATAAAGATAATCATCAACACGTTTATTAATAATTTCAAATTCTTGCATAAGTCGAAATACTTTTGATCCGGGAAAATCACAATCAGTGAGATGAGAAAAAGTTGGTTCCTGTGTGAATAATCGTATGCCCATCGTATTATAGGCATTAGCAATGTGATCAGGACAATTCATAAGATGATGAAATTTTTCCAACAATCTTGATTCATATTTTCCATTAGTGGCAGTCAAAAGATCGAGGATCAACGATGGAAGACCAGACTATTGAAAAAAGATCGAAGTGAATCAAGACGAACGATTTAAAAACAAACAAAATCTTACAGGCAAAAGTTCACAAAGTGTAGCCAAATGATCATAACGTTGCCAACCGGTAATAACAAGACCACGAATTTCCTTAAAATTACGTGCTTGTTCATCTAATGCTTGCAGCCAGGCGATATTATTATCCAAATGCATTTTTATATTAGGAAGAGTCAATGTTTCGCCAAAAGCTCCTACAAGAAATATTATTTGCTTAGAAAACGTTAAACAACATAGAAAAACTTGCCTTTAAAGGCACTAGCTCCCCAAATTTTTTGAAAAGATTCGGCATAAAACATCCAATTTTGAGTAGGAATAAAACGATAAATGTCATCAACATAAGTCCAAATCATTAGTTCAACTCCAATCTCTGCCAGATCATAGGATTTGACAAAATCGGGTGAAAACTGTCGCAACATATCATCCCAAATGATGGATGTCACATTATATTTTTCTTTTACATAAGTTGCGATTCTCTTGACTATCGAAAAAATCTTTAAAATTAAAAATCTGCTATATACAGGAATCGATCTTACCATGATTAAGAAATAATTCATCACGATCCTTGTGTTTACATAGATCACAAATACCAATTTGATATACTTCATCACAGCCAATATGTAGCCATTTTGAATCAGGATGTGCGATCATTATTTGATCGATCATGGCCGTTAATAACTCATAAGTTTCATTTCGACTTGGGCAAACAGCTTGCGGAAATTCGTCCATTTCTCTCAAATGGCGATAATTTTCAAGCTTAAGAAAAAATTCTAAATGTCCCAAGGTTTGAACTAATGGGATAATTTCGAGGCTATTTTCTTTTGCTGAACGTTTTATATCTTCAATTTCCGATGAAGAATAAGCATTATCAGCCACCGCATGATGTAAAAATTTACCATCATATGGAAATGTATCCTCATATTCCAAAAGGATTCCATTAGCACCGGCTCGTCTCAAAAACGGAAATAATTTTTGTAAATATTCCACTTTTGGAGGTGCACCTTTCAGATCTAAATGTACGAAACGATTTTTCGGTATATAAGATTTTCGTGTATTATCATCACCAGGTGGATGTATATATACTGCGGATTGTCTGTGTAAATTGTCATTGTCAATTGTCATATGTCTATTTGACATGAAGTTTTTATCATAATGAATGAATTGTGAATTCTCTTTATCGCCACTGAGAATATTGCTAATAACTTTATTGGAATCGGTCAAAAACTGACCTTGCTGCTGTTGTTGATTAGAATGAAACTTGTGACTCGGTGAGAATAGAGATGAAAATGCATTTAATCGTGAATTCTGAATAATTAGCAATTAAAAACAAAAATTATTCACTACAAACTATAATTATAATAACAAGACTTACTGTAAGACTGATTGTAATAATCAAAAATATCAATAGGATTGATATGAGCAAAAATTTACGACGCCAAATGCGATTTAAAAGACAAAAAGATCGCGAATGATTATGTGAGTGAGGGTCTGCAAATTTTTTCAGACCCATGTTTGGATGGAGTATTGTTTTTTCGAATCAAACTAAAAGAAATGTTACAAATGATGCATTGAATGAAAAATTGAGCAAAAATGATGTTTAAGTAAATATTCATAAACTATAACAGTAAACAAACGAGGCATTGAAACCTATGATAAATGCAGTCACTAATGTTGATTGTTCCACGTGCATAAACCAATTTTTTCTTTAAAAGTATAAATATGGCCAGTTAGAACAAAGTAAAAATTCATTGCATGTAAATGTTTAATAAGAGTAGTTTATCAATAAATACAACAAAATTGAGGAAAAATTCACGGCAACAAGATTATTGAACCATAGTTTTGAATAATTGTGAAATTTAAAATTTAGAATTGTTTGAAGATTTAATTTATTTATTTATATATTTGATTTATCAAATTCAACTAATAACGTGAGCATTTATGATAAATATCTCAATCCTTATTTTTGGAATGATTATTGATTTAATAATAATTTGAGCCAAGCATTTTTTGAAACATCGATACTATCGATTCTTGATGGCTATATGAGTTTGATTATGTTCTTGGATTTGTTCCATTTTCAGACATTTGAAAAACTCAATAAAATTTACCATGAATTATCAACATCAAGGATCTCAATATCATCCTCCTCCTAATCAATCTAACCAGATTGACATGGATGCTGAAATGAGCAGGTAATTGTTATTCATTTGTTACTGATTTTAAAATCTAAGTTATTTTTCAGATTTGAAAAAGAAGTACTTTCGGTTTCAGCCAATGCTAGCTCATCATCATCAACAACATCATCTAATTTTCCTGTTCATTTTATTCCGCATCAAATTCAACGACAACTACCTTTGCAACGTACACAACAAGCAACTTTCGTACCAGCCGGTCAATATGCTGGTTCCTCAATGAATTCGACAACCATTCAATCCTCGAATCAAGGAAATGCTATGGGCCAATCGGCCGTTAATTATACTGTCACACCAATGCAAGTTCCATCCAATGTTCAACAAATATCGACAACACCTACTGGCCAACTCATATTGACAAAAACAAAATCGAAAAGTGAAAAGAAAGGTAGTAAGAAGAAAAAAAATCTGCGAATTGCTGGCGGACAGGTTTGGGAAGATCCAACTCTAGAGGAATGGGATCCCAATGATTTCCGTTTGTTTTGTGGTGATCTTGGTAATGATGTTTCCGATGATGTTCTTACGCGAGCTTTCAATAGATATCCATCATTCATCAAAGCTAAAGTTGTCCGTGATAAACGAACAAATAAAAGTCGTGGTTTTGGATTTGTCAGCTTTAAAAATCCAGTTGATTTTGCTCGTGCCATAAAAGAAATGAATGGTAAATTTCGAATAATATTAAATCTACTGATTTTTAAATGTTTTATTCATTTATACAGGTCGTTATGTTGGATCACGTCCCATCAAACTTCGTAAATCAAATTGGCAAGATCGTAATGTCGAAGTGGTGAAGAGAAAAATGAAACAAAAACAAAAACTTGGCTTGGTTTAACAAATTTTACAAAATAAAATCTTCAGACATTATTTATTGCTTTAAAATTTGTAAAGACCAGATATATCATATATCACGAGCAAAGCTTCATTTAGGAATTTTTTTCATAAATTTCAAGGCGGCAGAATTAATACAATAACGTGTTCTTTCGGGATAAGGACCATCATCGAATACATGACCTAGATGAGCATTACAGGATGAACATGTAACTTCGGTTCGAATCATATCTGTTGAATCAACCAATGAAATGGAATTTTTTAAATTTTTGGTCAAATAAAGGCAATAAATACTTACTATGCGATAAATCTTCTGTAAGAGCAACATTAACCTGTTGTATTGGTCGTTTGAATCCGGGCCAACCACATTCAGTAGGAAATTTAGAATCCGAAGCAAATAATTCTTGTTCACAAACAATGCATAAGTATTCACCTCGATCTCGATGTTCATTGTATTCACCTGTAAATGGTCTTGGTATTCAAATTATTTATCTAGTGGTTCATATTGACCAAATAAGTTCATTTCAAAAAATTAACATCATACCTTTCAGTCGCTTTCAACTGTGTCACAGCATATTGAATAGGTGTCAGACGATTCTTCAATTCATTTTGGTCAACCGGAATTTTAGATTTACGATTCGAATCTGTAGACGACGTTGACGATTGTTCTGATTGACACGAATTCTGATTCATATTGCCCATGGCGATAATGTTGTTTGTTCACTTGTTGTTCTTGTGATCATGACGACGTGGTTAATAAAATAATGACACAATTTTGCCTAAATTTGGAATTACTAAATAGAAAAACTTCATACACCAGCTGGCTAGCCATTTTTAGTTTTCTTTTTCACAAATAGATGGCACAGTTGTTTCAGGCCTAATAATTCTCCATTTTTCTGTGATGATGAAATCAAAATTTAAAATCCAATTAACATTTGTAATTCTATAAAAATTTCGAATTTAAAGCTGCTTGTTTAAATCTAAATTAGAATACTCTAATTTTTCGGTAAAATGTTATCATGCAAAAAACATTCGAATGTATCCGATAGTAAATCATTCCCAATCGTTGACAATCGAGATAAAGCTAATATAAATAACTTGCAACCTCAAACTGATTCCTCTTCTGTTGATAATGAATGTTGCTTAACCGAATTATTGATCACATCATTAACACTTCGATGTTATTATTGTCGTGATGGTTTTCTTTACACTGTTGCCTCGACTAATAAATATGTTTGCTTCTCATGTGGCATAATGATACCTGATTTATCGTGTGTGGTCAAATCGATCATAGATAAAGAACAAGATTTTGAATCCTGGAATGAAAAATTTCGAAATAATGATCAAAAATATCTCTATCTGGAAATGATGGAACAAATTTTCAACCAACTCACCAATCTATTATCGGCTTATGATGTTCGTTTGTTAGTGTATGCTACGAAAATCGCTCGAGCTTTTCATTCGATTAATGAAATTAGAAAATCTATTTACTATTGTCGATATGCATTGCGTATCTTATCATTTTATTGTTTGGAGTTTGTTCTCTGTAATGAACGTGAGAAATTTAACAAAATTTGGAACGAATTGCAATCACTACATGAACATTTGATAGTTTTTGAAGAAAGTGAAAATTATCATCTTTACCTTGAGGATTTTCAACGCTTCAAAATGAAATTGGATGAGAAAGGTTCGATTACAGGTGAACCAATTATCAATGTATCGCTTACAGGTGATGCTGATGATTTTAAAAAATAGCATCAAACATGATGACAATATAACATTTTTTTTATTGCAAATAAAACTCAAATTTCATTGAAACGGAAATAGATTCCCGTTATTTTGTAACAATTACACCCTTTTTTGTGAAATAAATAAAATTTAAATTTTGTGAATTCAATTTTAATTCAATCTGATTTAATCTTCAATAAAAACAGTACAAAAAACTATTTTTCTTGAATAAACTATCAATCGATCACAATCAGTCATTCTTTGATCAAAAATACGATTATAACAATTTCATGTTTGTAGTGTCAAAACTTTGCTGGCAAAAGATTTTCAATGTAACATGGTAATGTTTTAATCCGGAAAAAATCATATCATTTTTCTTTTATGATCGATTCGAAGTAATATTCGTTAATGTAGATTAATATCTGAAAGCGTATGCTAATGTACGAAAAAAAAAGATTTTTATCTTTGAAATACATTTTATCCAAAGTTGTGTTCGTTTTCGTTGTTTTAAGAAATACAAAACGATAGCAGATTATATCTAGATTTCGATTTTTTTTTCATTATTAATCCGGGAAATGTTGGCTTTTCCTTTAGATTTACAAAAAAAAGAATCGTTTTCGTTTCACTTTGAAATATCATAAACAACAAGTCCTATACATTTTAATGTACTGAATTTCTAATCATGATGGCATAACACCACTTTATGTTCATGTATGTTTCTGTACGGGAATTTAGTGATAATAACTATGAAGATATAGCAATAGGAAGAGGAAGATAATGTTTAATTTTCGAATTTTGATGTTTAAATACTGATCATCATCATCATCATCATAATGATGATCATGATGAATGACAATCTTTCTAGCCATTTAAAATTAAGGATTGCCAAGTTGTTTGTTAATCATTCATTTCATTTTCCTACTTTTGTTTTGTTGACTTTCTTTGTCTTATTATTTTCATTTTTTTAAAGTTGTTTTTTATGAAGATTTAAATTTCAAATTTTCCACTCATTTCTTGGTAATCAGCATTTTTTTCGCTCGTTTCATAGATTACCAGCTGTGTGTGATGAATACAGATTTCGGCTCTTTTGTATCATTATCATGATCTTATCCTGGTACATGATTGTAAACGAGACTTTGATTTTTAAATAAAATGTTGAAAAAACGTTTTGGAACCATTTACATTCTTTGGATGTTTATTTTTTTAATTTATGCATTTGAAATTATCTTTTTCCTTGTTGTTCATTCATTTTTCATATTTATGTAAACTTGGTGGTTTGGCTTGATTGACTCTGATTGACAATGATTTTTTATCCGTAACTGTTTTGACTAAATTGATTGATCGATTTCAAACAGATTAGAGATTACCGTGTTTTTATGATTTTAGAATTCATCAACTATTTTATTAAAGATTTTATCTCATAATCTTTAATTAAAACTGGTAGCAATTTGTCTGTTTGTTTTTTTCCCAAGAATTTAATGTGTGATGATAGTCACCTTTTTTTGGCAGCCGACGTTCTAATTTTGATAATTTAATGTTTTCATGAAAATTTATCCAATTTTTTTAAATAAAATTTTTTCCGAAAACTATTTTTGGTATTTGCGTAACTATTTTTGGTTTTTAGATCATAAAATAGATAACACTTTATGTGTTTACATTTATTTATTTCTGATTAGAATATTGAGATATTTTCGGATTGATTTTTATTTATGTAAATAATAACAAGTTCATTATCTATATCTGTTATGAATAGCATCAAAATTCAAAATTAGCATCCATACTCATTTTTTGACCTTTTTTTCTGAATCTGACAAGATTTTGTTTTCGAACACACAAATTTTCCAGGAATTTTAAAATCATACCGCCAAAACATTTCCAATTTCATTTTCACATACACTAATGATATATGATCGCTTGTGTTGCGTGCCATTCATGTCATTGATTCATCATGGTTTATCATGTTTCAACTTTTTGTTTTTAAAATACAAAATTATATAAACACACCTTATGATAATGTGTGTTACAATGTGCAGTTATTTTTGGCATTTGTATATTCGAAAAAAATTGTCTACTCAATCGAATGGCTGGGAATTGTTGATTAGATTTTTGTCAATTCTTTGCGTGATGATTTAAGTAAAAAAAATACAACCTATGAAGTCATCAGTATTCACTAAGGTGAAAGTGGACCCGATGTTGTTGATATATGCATATGCACACACGACTAGTTTTTTTTTGTAAAGTTGTTAGTTTGTTTATTCTATTCAAAATTCTTTTGTAAGATGTGATTATCCTTAAATTGGTGATGTCTTATCGATTTTAATGATGAGAAAAGAATGAATCAACACTTAATCGATCAATCGATCAAAAAACAAATAAAATTTCAATGATAATCACACAAAATGACAGGTGAAAACAAAATGAATTGAATGGTTGAATGAATTTTATCATCAACTTTCAAATCAACAGGTTGTTGACATTTGTTGCTGTTGAATCTAAAGAGAATATATAGTAGTGATTGTGTTGAATTGGATGTTTTTTAAAGAGTGTTTTTTCCATTATTTGTTTTTTCATTTTTCATTATCTGCTTGACCATATTTAATTGCGTCTGTCGTGCGTGTTTGGAGATTGAAGACCATAGGTCACCCGATTAAATTTTTTCATTATTCAGAATTTTTTTCTTTCTTTTTTCATATGAAAAAAATTCGGGTTAAGAGATTGTTGTTGATTAAGATGATAAAATCATCATCGTTTATTATTATCATCATCACCATCAAACTTAGTCTATGTATGAAAAGAAATTTTAAAAAACTAAACAAATAAAACGAGAAACAAACAATCGATTCAAACATATAAACAGAATAGTTGATTTGAATAAATTCAAGATTGAAAATATAAAGAAAAATGAATGAAAATTACGCACGATCAACAAACAAACAAAAAATGATTCGAATCTTTTGTTCACGAGCCTGTGAAGAAAAAAAATTTCATTTTTTTATCCTCGAACTAAAGATTTTTATTATTTCTCTTTTTTTTCTTCAATTGATCATTCTGATGATGATTATATATTATGATATAATAATGATTTCAGCTTTAGCTTTAGTCTCATCATCAAAAATGTTACACAATTAAATCAAACATGATTATATTTAGAAGAATGATGTTTACATCAGTGATGTATGATGCATGCACGCGTTTATATGTTTTCATTCACACTTTATAGAAACGTTGAACAAGATTGAGATCTATCAGTTAACATGGTTTGTTGTTTTTTTTCCATTACAAAATGATCTTTACTTTGTATCATCATCATATAATATTTTCTACATTACTTATTTTTACAATGTTACCTGTGCCTGCATAAAAATATTGTTGGGCCATTTTTTTCGACATGACGAATTTTAAATCGTGATTTTGGATTGGATTGTTGTTCGTGTTAATTTTTAAAATGATTGAATTTTTCCCTTTTCATCATGATTATGATTTTAACCGTTTTTTTGGCCATAATCGATGCTTCTTGACCCAAAACAATTTCGACTTAATTTTTTTCAAATAAAAAAATCCTGTAAACCTGATTTTAAACCGAAATTTTTTTTCTTTTTCTTTATGTTAAAGTGTAAAAAAACCGAAGTTATTAATAAAAATGTCACGAATATGCTGAAAAAATTGTTTTTTCATGTCACGAAAATCATTTGCTTATGATTATCGATTTGATCATCATATTTGTCCGTGATCTTGGTTTGTTTTTTGTCAAATTTCTCTCTTTTATTTGATTGATGACCAATTCTTACTATAATATAAAGCAAACAGTTGATAGATTATCATAATTATACAACATCTATTATTATGATGAATGAATTGGAAAAACCTTTTTTCAATATTAATCTTTTCGTTATGGTTGTCTAGTTCTTTTTTTTTGCCATAAATGTTTGGCTAAACAACGGTGATGAAAATCGATCCATTGTCAAAAAAATGATATTATGTTGAAATGATAATGACAATGGATTGATAGATAGATAGAGATAAATATGGTACCCACTTTAAATTATTC